GAAACAGATTGATAGAGCCAGAAGAGTTCCCAGAAGTCACCTACTACAGGACAGGCCTAACAAAGAAAATAACAGAACGCCACTAGCCATCACCTTCAGCCCCCAACTAAAACCCCTCCAACGCATTATTAAGGATCTACAACCTATCCTAAAGGATGACCCAACACTCTCTCAAGTCTTGGGAGACAGGCCAGTCCTTGCCTACAGACAGCCCCGCAACCTGAAGCAAATACTCACCAACAACCACATACCACACAACAGAACCACTAACCCAGGAACTTATCCTTGCAACAAAGCCCGTTGCCAACTGTGCCCACATATCTATTCAGGGGACACCATCACAGGGCCTAATAACATCAGCCACACTATCAGAGGCTCGTTCACCTGCACATCCACCAATGTGATATATGCCATCATGTGCCAGCAATGCCCCTCTGCCATTTACATTGGTCAAACTGGACAGTCTCTACGTAAAAGAATAAATGGACACAAATCAGATGTCAAGAATTATAACATTCATAAACCAGTCGGAGAACACTTCAATCTCTCTGGTCAAGCAATTACAGACATGAAGGTCGCTATCTTAAAACAAAAAAACTTCAAATCCAGACTCGAGCGAGAAACTGCTGAATTGGAATTCATTTGCAAATTGGATACTATTAATTTAGGCTTAAATAGAGACTGGGAGTGGCTAAGTCATTATGCAAGGTAGCCTATTTCCCCTTGTTTTTTCTTACCCCCCCCCCAAAAGACGTTCTGGTTTAACTTGGATTTAAACTTGGAGAGTGGTCAGTTTGGATGAGCTATTGCCAGCAGGAGAGTGAGTTTGTGTGTGTGTGTGTGTCCCTGGAAAAAAAAAGGGGGGGAGGGGGTGAGAAAGCCTGGATTTGTGCTGGACATGGCCCACCTTGATTACCATGCACATTGTAGGGAGAGTGGTCACTTTGGATGAGCTATTACCAGCAGGAGAGTGAGTTTGTGTGTGTGTTTTTTGGAGGGGGGTGAGGGGGTGAGAGAACCCAGATTTGTGCAGGAAATGGCCCAACTTGATTATCATGCACATTGTGTAGAGAGTTGTCACTTTGGATGGGCTATTACCAGCAGGAGAGTGAATTTGTGGGGGGGGGGGGGGGGTGGAGGGTGAGAAAACCTGGATTTGTGCTGGAAATGGCCCAACTTGATGATCACTTTAGATAAGCTATTACCAGCAGGACAGTGGGGTGGGAGGAGGTATTGTTTCATATTCTCTGTGTGTATATAAAGTCTGCTGCAGTTTCCACGGTATGCATCCGATGAAGTGAGCTGTAGCTCACGAAAGCTCATGCTCAAATAAATTGGTTAGTCTCTAAGGTGCCACAAGTACTCCTTTTCTTTTTGCGAATACAGACTAACACGGCTGTTACTCTGAAACCTGCTTTTACTTCAGTTATTGTTTTAAAATGCACGGCTGGTAAACTCTGTCTCTCTCACACACTTTGTTTTTTAACTATTGACAGTTATTTTTCTTCCGTGGTTATTTAGATAGACTAAGCCTCCTGGTGACCAGATGTGGAAACTGCAGTCAAACATCCAGGCTGAGTGGGAAGGTAGTGAGCAGCATTGGTGTTTGCACGGTGGTATGTATTTTTATTATTATTAATGATGACATTGCCAAACAGGCTGTAGCCCTTTTCAGGATCCCTAAAGCTGCTGCTTATGTTTCTGGGAATGGAGATGCCCAAAATCAAAGGGTTAATGAAATCTACCTGAACTGAAACTATATGTGTCTTTGGCTGTATAGGTAACTGGTCCTCTGCACTCTCCTACTTCCTGATGGCGAGGGGCTGGGCGTGTGGAGAAGATATGGGATATTTCTTTTGCTTTTTCCTCAAGGCAGTAGCTGTTACTCTGCCATCCAAGTTAGGAGAGAGCCACACATGGGCAGTGGGGAAGGAGCAGTGATGCTTCCAGAGACCTGTTCAGGGATATGACCTCCCAGCTCCACCATAGTTGTCCCAGGGAAGAGGGGAAGCTCTCTGTCTCCTTTTGTACTTGGCAGGTAGAGTATGCCCTCAAGGGGGGATTTCCCTGTGCCTATCCCAGACAGAGGTTAAAAACAGCAGAAGTGAATGCAAAGATATGCATGTTCTTTTGAGACCTGTGCAGGATCTATATGATCACATTCTGTGGCTGGTCTTTTAAAGGGCTGGATAACTTTGTGATCAGGCTAAAACTAGGTAATCAAAGCTCATTCTTCAGGAAATCAGCAGATCACATGCAGGGGGCAAGAAGGAATTTACCCCCATATATATAGCATTACCCTGCTGCCCCACTGCCTTCTGTGGTATGGATGGGAGGCCCCTTCCTCAGCCTGTTACTAGATCCCTGAGGCAGCCAATTGATGAATAATTGCAATAGACCATTTCACCAAGAAGAATAAACCTTACCTTCTTCAACACAATTAGTCCTCCACGTTGGGATGCCTGTCGACTGCTTCTCTGTATAGTCTCTTGGCCTTACTTCCCCTATCTCCCTGATGCCGCTGGCATTTCAGGGCACCTTCCAGGTCCCCAGGTGGGCTATGCATGCTCCCCCAGAAGCTATCATGCCCACAACAGAGATCTCCATCTGGAATGCAGACAGGCTTCAGAAGAGGGAATCCCCTTTAGAACTTGCCTGAACTCCCAGAGGGCTCCTAATATTGTTGGAGGTCAATGGAGCTGTGGGAGGAGTTACCCCTTTCATACAACTCACCTGGGGCTAGCTCAATCGGGGGCACTCTACTGGAATCAATGGGAGAGGAACCTCCTTATGGCAAGCCTGAATTGGGCCCCTGGATCTCTGTCCCTGCAGCCCAGCCCACCCCACAACTGAGCCAGGCAGCCAGTTAGTACTGGGACTTGGGATATCTCCACAAGGGAGCAAGGAGTACTTCTGTCTCCGTGCCCTGCAGTCCCTTGTCCCAAGGTGGGCCTGGCCAAGGCAGGGCGCTGAGCTCTGTCAGGACCTTGCCTTGACAGAGGTGTCTCTAGGGCTTCGGGGGTGGCTCTCAAACAGGTTGTGACAGGGCCACAGTCCTGAAAAGGTGAATGTGAGCCCAAGGGCCAATGGCTGTGTTTGTTTATCAAACCAACAACAGCGCAACAAAAGGTCAAACCCTGTTGCCGTGGGAGATGGTTTTTGAAGCCTCCTACAGTCCTCCCAGTGTCCAGCTGAGACTGTCCTGCTTGTCACCTCTAGTTATATATGATATTTATTTGCACTGGAGACCCCAAATCCAAACACCCCCAACCTTTGGGAGATGGCTCACCTAGATCCAAGCTCCACAGCTGGAGCTGTTTCCACTGCAGACAGAATGAAATCCCTGATCCAAACACCCCCATACTTCAGGGAAGTTCTGAGCTAGATACAAAAGCCATAGCTCAGTACAACAATCCAAACTCCAGATCCAACCTGAGTCCATCTCAGCAACAGAACAGCAACAGGGACAGAACCAGAGATTCCAGATTCAAACATCCCCAGACTTTGGTGAAGTTCTGATCCAGACGCATGCTCCATAGCTTGAATCCACCTCAGCACTGAACAGAACCAAGCCCACCTGTAGATTCAAATTCAGGGAAGTTCTGCTCCAGATACATACTCCCCAGCTTTAGCCCATCTCTGCAACAGATAGAACCAAAACTCCTACATCCCAACCCCACCAGTGTTTGGGGAAATTCTGATCCAGACATTTCAGATTGTACCCAGCTGATTCTTCTGGGTACAGGAACAGTCATAAGGGTAGATTCATGACAGTCATGAGTCTTTTCCTTACTTGAGCTGAGCAGATGTACAACACTTTCACTAGGGGGCTGAAATGGCTCAGGTAAAGGTCCTCCCACTGCATCCTTGAAACCAAACCTGAGCCCATGCCCTAGAAGTTTGATTGTTTTGGGCCATTGGTTGTCTTTGATCTGCTAGTTTTCAGCCGGGATGGGAAACAGAAGGGCAAGCATAATGGCAGACAGGGTGTACACCTGGTCATTGGAGAGAAGCTGGAAGCGGAGAAGCATGGTCTAGTAGTTGTTGCAGCATAAATCCAGGCGTAAGAAGAACTGGCATTTATTCCTGTCTTTGCCACCATCTTGCCATGTAACCTTGGGTAGCATATTCCGTTAGAGCAAATCCTGCCATTACCAGTCAGAGCCATGCTGGAGGGGGTGGAGGAGAACAGACCTGCTTGTTAATACAAGAGTCATCCAGCAAGTGCAGGGCATGAGATAGCTCAGACTGGGCATCGGAGGCGCTCCGAGCTGCTTCATTGACAATAATAATGCGTAGCAGCTTCTCATTCATTGATCTCAAAGCACCTCGCAGAGTTGGGAAAGAATCACTATCTCCCATTTTATACATGGGAAGCCTGAGGCACAGGGATGGAAAGTGACTGGCCCAAGGTCACACAGTGAATCAGCAGCACAGTCAGTAAAAGGACCCAGCAGTCCCGACTGCCCCAGCCCTGTACTCAGTCTACCAGGACACACCTGCCCCCCATGAGAAGAAGCAGCAAGCCCTCCAGGTACAGATGACAGCCCCTTTCCTAGCATTCTCTTGAGAGCTAGGTAAGAGCTCTGTGCTGGTGCTGAGCACCCTATGCCCTCTTCTCCCACCAGCACAGCCCAGGGCAGGATTTGGCCTTTAACCTCCTGTGCCTCAGTCTCCCCATCTGTAAAATGGGAATGATAATTCTGCCCTGTCCTGCCCTGCTGCAAAAATTAACTCACTAATGTGTACAAAGTGCTTTGAGATCCTCAGAGGAAGGTGCAAGTGATGGGACAATCCCTACTTCCCTGCCTCCTGGCCCTGCTCCCTACAGGTGTAGTTCTCCCATTAGTGTGCTGCATTGCCTTTCCCAATGGGCCTGCTCTGCTTACAGAGGTCCGGGCCTGCTCTGCTTCCAGAAGTCCAGCCCTGCTTGGGTTAGGCAGCCCAGTCATGTTGACACAGGCACAGTGAGCAGCTGAGTTGAGCTCGGTTGCTAACAACAAAAGCAGCTCACAGCCCAGCTCATCCCTTCCTGCGAGACCTGCGCTGCAGGGATGTGGGAAGCAACAGGGGAGCAGCAAATCAGTGGGAGGAAAAGCTCTCCACGCACACAGCAGAACAAGGTATATGCAATGTATTTCCTTGGCTTTCCTTGGGCTGTGTTTTTATGCCTTTGTTTAGGCCAAAATTGTCCCATCTAGGTACCTGCAAACTGGCACCTCAATCCATAGTTAGGCCTCAAAATTAGTGGCTTCTGAAAAGGAGTCCAGCTATGGAATCAACTGTCCAAGTTTAGCTAAGCAAGCCGGAAACCTTTGACCTAAGTTGCTGTCTCAATGTGTGCCCGAGCTCAGACGTCACAAACAGAGCTCTGGATGTAATACGCTTATTGCTGGGATGACTGCTGATTGTAACGACAGTCTCAGAGAAAGATGTGCATTGTATGAGCCTACGCTGTATGCCTATGGGTGTGCGTATTCCTGTGTGGCCTGGGGTTAGAGTGCTGGCTCTACTGCTAGATGCCCTAGGACAAGGCACTTTATGTCTCTGTGTCTCCATTCCTCTATACCCAAAATGGGGGTAATGCCACTGACCTCCTTTGTAAAGTGCTTTGAGATCTACTGATCAAAAGGTGGTTATTATTGGCACCATGAGCAAGCAGGGGGGCCAAGCTCCAAGGTGCACCGGTCACTGCATGGTGCTGCAGTGTAATTGAGCTTTGAGTGAGTGGAAAGTAGATGGAGAAGAAAACTGCACCACTGTATTCCCAACCCTCAGATCCAAAGAACAGCTGGGTTCAAACATATTTGTGTCTGTGTTTTTGTTTGCTTTTCCACAAACTGTTGTGCAAATGGGATTTTTGTCTGCATGGCTGTTTAGGGAATGGCTGGTTTTCATAGACATTCCCATATTTGCATGCAAATAAGGGAAATTACACACCGAGATGGATACTTGCACCTGAAGTCTTCCCCCCCTGCAATTGTTTGGAAAGTTTTACTCACCTAGTCAAGAAGCAGTGACAACATCTTGTGCTGAAGACCAGTCACATGCTGCAAAGAACATAGTACAAGATCTAGCCAACGTAATCATTCATAAACAACCACTAGCAGCTAAAACAGGTTCTCATTGAAAAAGTACAAATGTGTAGAAATCAGAGTCTGTTCATGGAAATACAGGCACTTTTAAAAAGGCTACTTCTCTCAGATAAACTCTTCACTCGGAGCGTTAATTCGGCTCTAGTCGCTCGGACTCATGGTGCATTGGTTTCCTCTTATTTAAAACGGTCATGCAGTGAGTTTGTGTAATGTAGCCCTTTAGGTTACTATGGTTTCGTGTATGCATCCGATGAAGTGAGCTGTAGCTCACGAAAGCTTATGCTCAAATAAATTTGTTAGTCTCTAAGGTGCCACAAGTACTCCTTTTCTTTTTGTGAATACAGACTAACACGGCTGTTACTCTGAAACCTATGGGAACCAGGGCCCTGATCCTGCAATGGAGTCAGTCTGTGTGGAACCGACTGTAGGACTGGGGCCCATATCTTTAAATTTCCTGAGTTTTGTGCATTTAATTTCCTAATTGTCTTGTTTTTTGAAGAGATGAAGGAGAGAAAATCCCCAACCCAACCCCTATGTCTGCTCTCAGGTTCAAATAAAATTGTAACAACAGTCTTGGCTGAACTGTCTGCGGGGACTGAATGTGGAACCTCTGACTTTCAAAGTAGGAGGCACTTCTGATTTAGTTAAAGGAGCAGCTACAGTAGTTTAAGGGCAGCAGTAGCAGACATAAACCTCTCTGGAGGAAGACATAAACCTCCCCTGTGTTAGCATTGGTTATGATAGCATTACATATCATTGAATGTCTGATTTTTTAAAATAAATACACGGGCATTTATTTCAGAGTGCAAGTCACCAGATAAGCCACACACAGATGCTGTGTGCTTTTTCCATGCCTTCTGACTCTTTAAAGACCATTTTTTTCACACTTGGCAAAGCTGTTGACTACATCTGAACCTGAAAACAAAACTGGTGTTGAGCAAACAATGCAAACCCACATCTGAACAATCTGCCTGATTCTTTAAGGCCAGTGGTGTCCAAACTTTTCCTGTCGTGTCCCCCCCCACTTTACAAGTAATGGAATCCGTCCACAACCCCCTCCATTACTGCACAGTTGGCTCAGCAGAGGAGCTTGGGGTGACGGTGAAGCTGGGGGAGAACTGGGGATGGGGGAGGAGCTGGCCTGGGGGTGGAGAGGGAATGAGAGCAGAGCTGGGCTGAGGGCGGAGCAGCAGAGCTGCGGCTGGGGCCTGATGGAGCTGGGCTGAGGGCAGAGTGGAGCTGGGGCTGGAGCTAGGGCTGGGGGCAGAGCAGGGCTGAGTGGCACTCCCTCCCCAACCCCCTTGGTGGCTGGCCCGGGCCCCACGAAGCACCCTCCTGAACATTCCTCTGAGCCCCCCAGGTTTTGGGACCACTGGTTTACGCAAATATTGAGTGTTGCTTCAATAAATGGAGCTATAGAAAAAAATGAATTAAGCGATGCTGGGGCCAGCCCACTAACACAAAGAGTACCAGATACAGACCTAGTGATCCTGTAGGCTAGCCTGCGCCGACACCACTGTGAATTATAAAAACCCTGCACCAGATCCTCAGCTAGTATAATCTTCAGTGAAGTCAATGGACCTATGCCAGTTTACGCCAGCTGAGAATGTGGCCCTGTTTCTTAGGAAATCCCAGAGTCTCGGAATCAGACGTTATACAAGGGTAACCCCTTCCCTGTTTGCCTTTATTTCTTGTATATATATTTGTATAAGAGGCCAGAATCTGGTCTTAAATACATGGGTCCACTGAAGTCAATGGAACTGTTCTGGATTTACACTAGTGTATCTGCAATCAGACTCTGCCCTCAGAGGATATTGCTCAGTGGGGACTGTAATGATTGTATCACTTTTTCCAAACAGGAAGAGAAACTAGCCATGGACTATACTCTGGAGGCCACCTGGAGGAAGGAGAAACTTCTGAAGACTGTTTACACGCTCCAAATGAAATCAGACACTACACTCCAGAAGGCAAGCCCACTTCTGAGCAACCATCATGGGATGGGCATGGTGACAGAACATCAAGTCCACCAGCTGGCTGAGAAGGCAAAGGTCATCTGCCACGACCTGGACAACATCAGAAACCTCCTCCACTACCGACAAAATGACCTGGTTCAGCAGATCCCCAACCCCAATGGCTGCCGCTATGGGGGACCAAGTGGAATCCATTGCTCGCTGGATGGCTCTATCTATGTGACTAGTGAGAATGCACCCTGGGTCCACATCCTCACTCGCTCGGGTCAGACTTTGCAGTCCTTACCATGTGTGGAACAGGGAAAGGAAAGTGAATCCTTTTTGCCAGAAGATGTGACTGTGACTCGGGCAGGGATGGTAGCTGTAACGGACATGATGAATGGGACCATCCACATCTTCAACCATCACTCCAAATTTTCCAAAGGGGAGTGGATCAAAATCGGGAAGGTTGATTCTCCCAGGGGTATTGGAGTGGACTCCACAGGAAGGATCCTGGTAGCAGACTACACTCAGGGCAAAGTCCACAGTTTTGCTCTGGACCATGCCTTCAGGATACAGAATACCCACTCCGTCTCCAACCTGCGTGGACCCCGCTATGTCTGCTTGGCACGTGATGGCGGGTTCATTGTGAGCGAGGAATGTGGTGACGTGAAGCTCTTCAATAGCAACCATAAGCTGGTGGGCTCCCTTGGCTGCAGATACGGGCACCAGTTTGGCAACCCAGCTGGGGTCTGTGCCGACGTAGAAGGCAACATAATTGTGGCAGATGAACAGCACCGAGCAGTCCACCTGTTCCCCAAGAGCGGGTCTCCCATCTGCCTGGTTTCTAAGGGGCTGCGGAAGCCTGCAGGAGTGGCTTGTTCCAACTCTGGGCTGCTTTTAGTAGCAGACTCTGGGGATAATTGTGTCAACGTCTTTAAATACCGTGTGAGACCCCCCTATAGTTCCGATAATCCTTGGGTGGCCAGTGACAGTCCAAAGCCAAGTCCTAGAAAGGGCTCAACGATTCTGCATTGAAACCATTTATTTCAGTTATGTGATTGCCTTACAGTGACATCTGCTGGCAGAGACAAGAACTGGGACCCCAGAATTCTACCTGAGTTATTTGGATTGGGTCACCTCCACTACAGTAGCTTAAGATGTGTCATGATTACTCAGAATTCCCTCTCATCCCTCCTGCACATAAAGGCTATTCCCTTCCAGATGCTAGTATAGATACCTGTCATCAACACATACCAATCTCAGACTGGCTGGGTCTTCACATTTATGGAATCAAGGAAGATGGTGTGAATTGAGAATCAAGCCTAGGTCAGGAACAGGGTAGCATTGTCCATTGTGTGTAGTTCACAATAGCCTTCATCAGGATGGAGTTAAACATTAAAGATAACTGATTATTTGTGGGTCAGATGGTTTTGTTTGGCCTTTTTGTTTTAGACACTACAAAGGGCATTGAGTACACTGCGCATCCCAGGGCTGGAAAAATATCCACAGAAAGCAAGGAGTTCAGAATAGAGACACTAAAATGATTGCCAGGCTGAGATCACCAAATTTCTATAGTGATCATGATACACATGCACATATAACCAGGACTGAGCGCCCCACATTTGTGCAGCGAGCATTCCACACACATACAATAACACACACATGCACAACTGCACCATGGGGACTGAGTGTCTCACATTTTTGCAATAAGCCTGACATGCACACACACACACACAACTGTCATTGACTACCCCATAGTCCTGTAGTGAATGTTGCACAGACACACTCCACAACTGGCACTGAGTGCCCTATACTTGGTAGTAAGCATTGCAAATCCCGCAGCTGGGGTTGAGCCCCACACCCTTCTATCATGCCACAATTGTCTGCCACCTTGGACAGCCAAGAGCAGGAGTATGTGAAGCGCACACACGAACCTTATCAGCAAACGGCAACATGCTGCAGAAGGGGTGTGGGAGGGAAGGAAGAGGGTGTCCCACCCAGGAGGGGTTGTATGCATTACAGTCATTTCACAGCCCTCCCCAGGCTTTGTAACTGATGCACTAGTAGCTGGAGTAAGATGTTCAGGCTCCACTCATTCCCACATCACCCAGGCCATGGTGGAGTTACATCAGGTGCTAGATTTGACTCCCTCCGGCTGATTTAAGAGAACAGCCAATTCCAGTCTTGTTTCTTTCACCCCAGGTGAACCATGGAGAGGACTTTCCCCCCTGCACAGCCAGGACGCACACCAAGCTGCCATACTTTGGATCAGACCCCAGATCCCCTCCCAGGACCAGGACATGATCAAAGAAGTTGGGGAGATGGCCTAGGAAAGGGGCGGACAAACTTTTTGGCCTGAGGGCCGCATCGGGTTTCTGAAATTGTATGGAGGGTCGGTTAGGGGAGGCTGTGCGTCCCAAAACAGCCAGGCATGGCCCATCCACCACCCCCTATCCGACCCCACCTGCTTCTCGCCCCCTGATGAGACCCCCCAGGACTCCTGCCCCATCCAACCCACCCTGTTCCCTGACGGCCCCCTGCCCCATCCATCCCCCCTGCTCTCGGTCCCCTAACTGCCCCCAGACCGCTCACCCCTAACTGCCCCCCACCATCCCATCCAACCCCCCCTCCTTCCTGACTGCCCCCCCGGACCCCTGCCCCATCCACCCCCTGACTCCCTGTCCCCTGACCGCCCCCGCTGCCCCATCCAACCTCTCCTCTCCTTCCTGACTGCCCCCCCGGACCCCTGCCCCATCCACCCCCCAATTCCCTGTCCCCTGACCGCCCCCGCTGCCCCATCCAACCTCTCCTCTCCTTCCTGACTGCCCCCCAGCACCCCTGCCCCCACTCAACCCCCCTGTTACCCACCCTCTGACCGCCCCGACCCCTATCCACGGCCCTGACCACCCCCCGAATTCCCCTGCCATCTATCCAACCCCAACCCCCCCCGCTCCCTGCCCCCTTACCACACTGCCTGGAGCACCGGTGGCTGGCCGTGCAGCTGCACCAGGAGAGGTAGTCGCGCCGCGCAGCACAGAGCACCAGGTCAGGTCAAGCTTTGCAGCTCTACTGCCCCAGGAGCTCGCTCCCCCCGCCTCCCAGAGCATTGCGCTGGCAGCGCGGCGAGGTGAGGCTGCAGGGGAGAGGGACAGCGGGGGAGAGTCTGGAGGTGAGCTTCCCAGGCCAGGAGCTCAGGGGCCAGGCAGGACGGTCCCATGGGCCAGATGTGGCCCGCGGGCCATAGTTTGCCCACCTCTGGCCTAGGAAGAGCTAGACAGGTAGCTAGGTGGCGCAATATGGGGAGGAAGAGATTTATGAATGGCCCCCCTCACCACCTTCACATATTATTATTGTTAATCATGTTTATTACAGCAGTGCCTAAGGGGCAGCCAGGGGGGGTCCCATTGTGCTAGGCACTGCACAGACACAGTCCCTCCCCCAAAGAGTTCACCATATAACTAGACAAGACAGATCCAGGGCAGGGGATGATGTAGAACACACCAGCAGAGTGAACAATGTGCTGGCAGCAAACGGCATGTTACCAGTAGTGCCAGGGATTTTTTTCCTGGGTGGGCTTACATAGGAGGGGACCCACTAGAGGGAAAGGAAAGCGAAGGGAGAGGGGATATGGAAGAGAAGGGGGTTGAGGGAGACAAGGTGGGGGAGAAAAGGGTAAGTGGGCAGGGGAGTGAAGCTAAGGTGATGAGGCTGTGAAGGAGAGGGAGGTTTGGAGCAAACAGCTGTTTTTGCAGGACAGAGAAAGTCCACTCAGAACTGTAGCGAGTTCTCTGAGGTCCCTACTTTGGGCTTCTTCTGCTCCTGCCAGCTGGAGTCTCTGGCTGGCTCCTCTCTGCAAGCTTTCCCCAAAAGCCACTTGAGGGGTGGGGCAAGAGGGGAGGCAACACCTGGGTCCTCGTTTCCCCCAGGGTGTGTTGGAGAGTCTCTCTTGCACAGTTCTGGATCTAGGGGAGACCTGAGGGGAGGTGGCCCTCAGTGCTTACTCTGTAATGAAAGAGATGCCAGGGATCAAGCAATATTTTTACTTTCATAACTGATGCGGCAAGCCAGCCGTGCTGGGGCTGTGAACTGCCAAGCCCAGAGATGCCAGGGCTCTGAACTGCCAAGCCTAGAGGTGCCAGGGCTCAGCCCTGGCAAGCCCTGGCAGAAATTAAGGACTGGTGGCTCTGACTGAGCCCATTTTACCCTCTCCCCCACAATGCAGCAGATGTTCTCCCTAAAAACATGTTCTCCCACCCACTCCCCAGTTACATGTTCCCCACATCATATCCTTCTATTCCCCAGAGATCTGAATCCCAGCATAAGATCCCCCTGCCCCCAAACACCTAGCTATTTTTCCCTTTACTCCTGAGTTATCCAAAAGCCCTGTGTATTCTCCACAGTCCCTAAGCCAGGCCAGCCTTCAGAAAGGAGCCCTGGTCTGGGGTTCCAAAGATATTATCACTCTTTGAATATCTGTACCAGTCTAAGGAAGTAGGGATGGGAGTGGTCTATGTGTATATGAAGCAGAAGGGTATGAGTACATGGCAAAAGCTAATGGGCCAAATTTGCCCCTGAGACAACTCCATTATCATTAACAGACTTACACCAGTGGCCCTATTTACCCACCACAAGGTGAGAGCAGCTCCCTTGAAGTCAATGGGAGTTACTCATACCTTTTGGGGGGAGGGGAAGAATGGGGCCCTAGGCCTGAAGTTGGCCCACTAGCTTTTTCAGGGATGCAGATGTTGTTACACCAATTGGGTCCAGCATTTGAAGAGTTAAGCCAGGCAGCTTGTCCTTATCAGTAGGCTCAGCCTGCTGTAGCAGAGCAGTTACAGTTTGAATGTAGTGCACTCACTGCTCTCAGGTATCCCGAGGCCTAGGAAAGAAGTAGGCGAGGGGGTAAGTCTCTCACAGCTGTCCCTGCTTGAGTTTCCTCTTTGCAGGCTTGATACACTCATTTCAGTAAAAGTTAGAAGCCTAATATCTTTGAGGATCTCCACCCAGATACCGGTGGATGTGGCTGCTATGGCATCCCTCTCAGTCTGCTGCTCCTCTTAGTTGCTAAAATATGGGGGAAGAAGGAATCGAGAGATGCTGATAGAAAAGGAAAGAACAAGACTGATCCAGTGTCTTGGGGTGGTATTCCACCCTACTATGCGAGATATTCCACCCCACTATGCGAGAGAGACCTAGGTTTGGCACTGGGACTCCTGCTACCTGCATAACATGACTCGGGTGGGAAGTGCTGTGGTGGCAACATGCATGACAAGCTGAGAGGAATGCACAGAGGTAGACGAGCTGGGTCACAGAGCCGTGGGCTGTGCTCACAGCATAGGACACAGCAGGCAGAGCTGGTTAGAAAACTGACATTTTCCCCGCAAGAGAGAGAAGATAGGTGAGGTAATATGTTTTACTGGACCAACTTTTGAGCTTACACAGAGAGTACCTCACCCACCTTGTCTCTATAATATCCTGGGACTGACCCAGCTACAACAATCCTGCATTTCCCTACAAGAAATTTTTAATGACCAATCTTCATTCTAAATGTTTTGGTTGATTGTTTTTGGTTTGAATAGACATTTTCCTGTGAAAAAATTCAGTGTTTGTAAAACCATATTTTGGGGCAGGAAAACTTTATGCACAAAAAATGCTAACAGCCAGCTGTAACTGCGGAATACTTGCTCCCTAAGACAGATCTCCCTATGTGCTTGCCTCCAGAACCACAATCAGCCTTGTTACTGTACTAGGGTAGCCTGCCCCTTTAAGAGCCATGGAGCCTGTGGCTAGCCAGCCCTATTCAATTATCAGACCCAGCTGTTGTAAAGGCTGAGCATGCTCAGCTAGCTGGAGGGAGATGTGCTCCTGCAGTAGGTCCTGGAGCATGGCTGGGGGGGTTGAAGGGAAGGATGTATTGCTCTTTCATCCCTGGAAGAGGCCAGGGGGAAAACTCTGGGAGCTGTATGCCAGGGTGGGCAAAGGAATTGCTCTGTTTTGGTGTTTTGCCTATTTTGTGTTTGAGTTAATAAACTGACCCCTGCAGGAAAGGCCTGAAAGAGACTTAGGCATGGCAGTGAGCATATCGTGTGCTGGGGAGACAGGCCAGCAGCCTACAAGCCTGTATCCAGGGAGCTGCTGCTTTGGAGAGTTTGAGACTGTACAGATTTGGGCACTGGGAAGGCATGATGTTCACATTGGAACATTTTCATCATGTTGTTGTGTCAGCAAATCACATTTCAATGTGAAGCTGGCATGACGCAGTTTTGCCAGATCCTAGCATTCAAATGTAATGTTAGCCCCCCCCCCAAAAAAAAACATGAGGCTAGCTTAAATGTGCGTTTTTAAATACGAAAATCTCTCCAAAGGTATTTTTGTACTTGCCTTCTGGTTTTTGAGACTTCAGGGTGAAACTGAGTCACATTTTCAGGCTTTCTCTGCAAGCATCATGACTAGAAACTTTCTTTTTCTTTTTTTTAAATAAAAGGTGAGTTTTGTATAGGTTTATAGATTATAAGGCCAGAAGGGTCAACTGTGATCTCCTAGTTTGACCTCAGAAAACAGGCTAGAGGACTTCCTTGAATTAATTCATGTTTGAACTAAGGCAGATCTTTTAAAAAAATATCCAGTCTTGATTGCCAGTGATGGAGAATCCACTGTGACCTCTGGTGGTTAATTACCCTTACCTAAAAATTTGCCCTTTATTTCTAGTCTGAATTTGCCTAGCTTCAGTGTCCAGTCATTGGATCTTGTTATACCTTTGTCTACAAGATTAGAGTGTCAAATATTTGTTCTCCATTAAGGTAATTAAGCTGTGATCAAGTCACCTCTTAACCTTCTCTGTGTTGAGCTCCATGAGTCTATCACTGTAAGGCAGTGTCAAGAAATCACTTGTCTCCATGACATGGCCACACTGATGATGCAGTGTCATCATGCTGTGAGAATGTCATGACACAACAGCAGGATGCTGGGGATCAACCCAATAAAAATGGGGGTGACCCCAGAAATGATCCCTGCAAGAAGGATTTATATGCTATTAAAACATGTCCACGGCTGACAAAAAGGTAGGACATTGCATCATGATGTGGTGACACAAGGCCCAAAGTTGTGGAATACTAATCTCCAGGAGACTAACTTTTGAGTATGGTGATCACAACGCTCACCAGGGCCAGCGTTTCAGACCCCCAATGAGAGACGCTGTGCGGAAAAGTGCTGGTAACTTCTACCCATTTGCTCTGCACTTACAACACCCACAAAAGGAGCATATTTGACGCCCATGGTGTGCCCCTATGGAAAAGATATGCCCCATGATGCCAATTCTCACCATTTTATGGGGGACTGTTTGTTATTGCATGAGAATAAGAATTTTTGGGGGAGGGGGGATTAAAGGAAAGCTTCTAGCACTTGTGGTTGCAGAGAAAAGCCTAGAAACATGCCCCAAGTGTTGCCTAAAGGTTCAAAAGGCTGCAGTCAAATCAAGGACCGCAAATTATTATTTTAAAATCAAGCTCTTGACTTTTGTGGCTCATGTGACTCATAGTTTATGTTCATTGAGGGTGAATGATGCTGGTGTCATCAGGCCCCTGGGACCTCCCTTTTGGCTGGGTGCCCACAGGCACCCCGGCCAGGGACAATGTATCTGATGCCCATAGAGGGACTTTGGGGGTGAAAGATGGCCCTGGGGGCAGAAGTGAAGTGCTGCAGGGTGCCCGCTCCCTTTGCCAAGGCATCATGAGTGGGAGGGAGTGGAAGCTGCTGGCCCTATATTAACCCCACACTCCCACCCCACTCGCAGATCAGGTTTCTCCTCCTATTCAGGGGAGCTGGGGTCTGGTACCGTATGCCTGAGGGGCTGGATTGTTCTCCACCCACCCACCCCCACTGTAGGAGGGGTGGAGCGTTGCAGGCAGCGGAATCTTAGAGTCACGGCTTCCGGTGCCTGCCCGGGACGCATTGGGGACCGGACAGCACGGAGTCCTCCGAGCTGCGGACCGCGTCTCCTAGCAACTAGCCAGCAACACCCGGAAGTGGCTTGAATGTCGCGAGGGTCCGGTCCGCTGCCTTTTGACTGGGATAGGAGAGAGTCACTCCCTGCGGTGCGGAGGAGGTACTTGGGGGGGGGTGAAGGTGAGGGAGTGGGCTGCAGGGAAGGGGGCTCGGGAGGAGACTGGGAGGAAGTCATAGTGGCGAGGCTGCAAGGGAAGGAGTAGGAGGGGTCACACTGGGGAATTGTGGGAGGGAGCACTGTGGGGGTCACGCTGGGGGAATGTGAGAGGGAGGGGTCATGCTGGGAAGAGGTCACGCTAGGGGATTGGGGTCAGTGGGGAGTGGTGGTGTTGTGAGGGCAGGCAAAGGGTGACACTGTGTGGTGTGACCTGTGGGCTCACAGTGATGGTGGGGGCTGCAAGGGAAAGTATGTGGAGTATATTGGTTGGGAAGGGGTTATTGTAATCTGCTCTCCTCTGTTTCATTGCTCTGATGAAGGGCATGTCTCTCTCTCGGGTCCTTGCACTGTATCCTCCATTCCCTGATGCTGGCAGCTCCCCTGTATGCTCTGGCGACAATCATAAAATCATAGAATATCAGGGACCTCAGAAGGTCATCTAGTCCACCCCCCTGCTCAAAGCAGGACCAATTTTTGCCCCAGATCCCTAATGGCCCCCTCAAGGATTGAACTCACAACCCTGGGTTTAGCAGGCCAATGCTCAAACCACTGAGCTATCCCTTCCGCCATGAACAATGAACACCCACAGTCAGGCTCCTTCACCCCTGTGCTTCAGTCCTATCTTATTCTGCACAGATCCCAGGGTCTGGTGGTTCTCCTACCTCTGGCAAGCCAAAGCCATCTGAGCTTGTGACAAGAACTCATTAAAACAAAGGGGCTGAAATGCCCCACAGTGATTTCCTCACCAGAATGAAATACGCTGGCAAGAGTCATGCAGGACTTTATATAGTCATGAAGGAGTTAAAATGAAGCCCAGTGTGTAAGCCTAGTTATTTCTGCCAGCCTGAAGGAAATTGCAGTGTACAACAGTTCTGTGCTTGTACATATTCCTCCTCCAGGCTGGTGCTCTGCTTTAGATGCTCGCTAGAGAGTTTCCTCTGCCAATGGCTCCACAGCTTGTATGCCAGCTCTGGAGGCAGAGAACTCTCCTGCCTGTTGTAAGCTAGGAGGCAGCTTGGTGGCAGCCAGCTCACAGAGCAGTATTTGAACAAGGATCTCTCTTGCAGGCTTGGAAGTGGATTTTGTGCTCTTGTATGGTACTAGCCTGACATCCCTGTGGACTGAAGTTCTTGTATTCATCTCCAGAGTGTGTACAATCTCCCATTGTTTCTTGCTCCTGTCCTGGACAAACCATGTCTAGGGATGAGAAGGGAGTTCAGGCTCATTCGATCTTTGGCTTCTCAACTGAGATAGCTGACAAGGTGGTTAAGTGATACAAGTTGTTGAGGTGATTTTGTGATGTGGACAGAAATAATGCTAGGGAGGCAGAAGGAGATCACAACACATTTCATAGAGGCAACTGAACATCCAATGACAGTAGCAGCTTTCACTCGCTTCCAACCAGTACTGGATTTGAGCTGGCAACACTGTCATGCTCTATGTCCGTTACCAGTCCTCTGACCCAGCCAGTACTCTGGGAATGCTTTCTCTGAAGATTCCTTCGGAAAGAGTCAGATTTGAAAAGAAGAAAATGGTACCTTAAAGTATCAAGGTTTTTAATGAGTTGAGTATGAATTATACAATCAGTACCTTAACCTTTGTTTATTTTTATATTAATGCATTTATTGTATGGTGTCCCCACATTTTCCATTTCCAGTATTCCAAAGATTTTCATATAACTGCACTGGAAAAGTTTGGGAGCTGGGGAAAGGTGGGGACACCTGAGTAGCAGGTATCTATGAGGGAGCAATAGGCAGTTTGGGACTTTGGTAGAATAAGTACATTTGGTGGATGTTTCTGCTAAAATGATCAGCAATGAAATACTAGGTTGTGGTGACATTTAAAATATAATCCTTAGTTTTCAGATATAACCTGTTGAAATGAATGAGGCAGTTTATACTGCAAGTCACTGGCAGAGTTGGAAATACTGCCCAGGTCTCATGTGTTTCCAGGTTTGTTCCCTGATTACTAGAATATGTTGCAGTAACCTATTAACATGATACAATTTATTTCCTGCTGTAGAGATATTACATGTCCCCTTAAAAGTAATATTTGAACTCCCTCTGCTCGATTTCCAGCAGTTAACAAACACACACATTCAGAGCACAATCAAGGGGGATTAGCTCAGTGGTTTGAGCATTGGCCTGCTAAACCCAGGGTTGTGAGTTCAATCCTTGAGGGGGCCATTTAGGGATCTGGGGCAAAAATTGGGAATTGGTCCTGCTTTGAGCAGGGGGTTGGACTAGATGACCTCCTGAGGTCCCTTCCAACCCTGAGATTCTATGATTCTATTAAATAACTCCAGGTTAATTTGGGGGGGTAGGAGGAGAGAGGAGAGAAATGCAATCAATGTTTCCCAAATAGAGAAGGGAAAAATAGAGACATTTTATCTTCATTCTTCTTAGTGGGGGTTATAAAAAGTTGAGAACAAAATAAATGTAAAGCTATGTGAAACAGCAATTTGTTTCTAAAATGATGGTTGAATTGGCAAGGACTCTGTGGAGGGAGAGTAGCAGAGGACACTGGAAATCTCTTGCTGTAATAGCACTTTAAAAACTGCTGACGCTACCTGGAAAATTTAAAAATAAAAATTCAGCTTTAAAGGTACACTGGCAGGATAAGTGTCACCATTTGAAAAAAAAATATCCCTACCTATGCCATGTTACTAACAATACCTTAGACTGTTAAAATGGAACCATCTACAATCTTCTTCACCTTTCACTAATAATTATTTGAGGTTCTTCTAAGATTCCACTTCCTCAAAGGCTCTACATAGCAGAAATTATCCCTCTGGCCCAGGAAGGAAGGATGTAACTCCCTTTGTGGCTTGTGAATGCTGCTCTTGCAGTCAGCCCGAGGGGTCTGTCAGACAGTGAGGCAAGGCACTCCACTCCCTCAGGAGCTAAGGGGGCTGTCTGCTCTAAGCAACATTCAGAGTTCTGCACCTATGTTGCTACACTAAAAATCCCCAGAAACACACAAATGCACCCTCTTTAATGCAGGTATTGAGGTGGACTCAGCTGTTGAGAAATGACAGGGAAAATTCAGGCCCGGGAGATATTCGCCTTTGATAGCAGCAATTGTGTTGCTTGCCCCACTGACAACACATGCCAAGAAAACTTCACCTTTCCGCCTCAAGGGGCTGAAAGGAATTCATCCATGAGCAGTCAGTTCATACCATTGCATTTGGCAGGCTGATGGTTATGTGACTTGTCAAGTGACTTAACTTAATTGTTCCCCACCACCCTCCCCATCAAAGACAAGTGTATCTTTTCCATAGCAAATTGCCAGGTGCATAGATTTAGTAGATCATTTAAACTTTATTAAATAGAGAGGAAAACACACACATGAGGAACCTCCCTGTTCTGTATACTCTCAACATGTTATAAATATACTGTGTATTTCTCTTTCCAATTGACTGCTCCCATCACAAAGATGCCAGCCTAAGGGATTCATAGAGTTTTCACAGCCCTAGCACAGCACTGAAGGACAGAAAAGGACAGCAGTCACCAGATGCTGATTATTCTGAGGAAGCACCCTCCTTAATGCAATTATATTTCTATTAGATGCTTCAGCATTATGTAAAGAGACATTGTCAGCTAATTCAAGGCTCAAAATGTATTTATTTATTGTTAAGGTAATTTATAAAACCGTAGAAATGTGTTCTCCCTGAACTGAGGAAAAAAACCTACTTTAGATTGCAGGGTGGTCAGGGACTGCTCGCAAAGCAGGGCTAATAAGTGAATATAATATTTGCCCTTCTTTAGGACCTTCTATCCAAGGAATTAAATCAGACTTTAATCAGTTAAGCCTTCCAGTCCCCTTGTGAAGTAGATCAGCAGTTGTTATTTTACAAGTGGAGAAGCTGGGACACAGAGACATTAAGTGACATGACCGAGGCTACACAGGTTTCAGAGTAACAGTCGTGTTAGTTGCATCCGATGAAGTGAGCTGTAGCTCACGAAAGCTCATGCTCAAATAAATTGGTTAGTCTCTAAGGTGCCACAAGTACCCCTTTTCTTTTTGAGGCTACACAGTGAGTCTGTGGCAGAGCATGTCTCCTGCTCCAGTGACATAAGTGAGGATATAAGTCCTCTTGTTTCAGGTCATAAGTCAACTTCTGATTGAAGGAGTTAGGGAGAAACATTACCCTACAGGCAGGTTATTATACAACTATCCATGTTAAGGTTTCTGCTCCTTTCTCTGGGCCATGTACTGCTGGCTGCTGTCAGAGACAGGATACTGGACTAGATGAACCTCTGGTTGGAGCTATTTCTGCAATTTGCATGGATCTTAGTGCAGAGTTATGAGAGATGATTCCAACACTCGCAAAATGCCCTTGTGTTGGAAGCTCCACTACAAGGTCATTTGAAGAGCTTGTGTTTATCAGAAATGTGCCAAGTCCCTCTTTCACCTATGTTTTGAAATGCCACTTGGCTAATAGCACCAGTGTCAGCTTCTTAATCTAAGATGCAGAGTCAGTTTTCAGCTTGCTCTTGAATTTGGTGTTTTGGAACTTTACTGGATCTCCTCAGCAATGGCTTTCATTAAGCTCTGTTTTTTTTTTCTGTGTTTACCCACTGTCTCTAAGTTTTATTTTTGTATTTATTGGCAGGTATTACGTTCTTCCAGGATTGCTGTCATGGTTCTTAAAGTCTTCTTCCCCTCTTGCTGTGCCACAGCAGAAAGTGGCCTTTTGATTGGCCGTTGGATCCCGGAACAGAACTCTGCTGTTGTCCTTGCTGTGGTCCACTTCCCTTTTATTCCTGGCCAGGTGAAGCAGTATCTTTCTGAGGTCCAGCGGGTGACTCAGGTCAATATGTGTGTGCTGGGCTCATGGAGTAACAGCAAACAGGAGAAGGAAGAGGTCCTGGTCAAGTTCCTGGAAGATCTCAGCACAATCTTTTCCCATGAGCCCTGGATACAGCTCAACAAAGAGAGAGACAGCAGGGTTTGGAGCTGCTGTATCTTTCAGAAATACCCCAGCAGCCCCAAGGAAGATGAATTCATCTTAGTATATTATGACCAGCGCAAAGTAATGCTTTCACAGTTGCATCCCACAGACAACCTGACCACGTCTGCTGACCATAAGGGAAATGATGCCTCAAAACTAGGTGCTGTGTTTGACACAGTTGCAAAGAGCAAGGTACTATTCATGACAGACAGATACGATGATGGGCCCATCAAGCTGACTCACTGGCAGTCAGAAGGAGTGGAAGCCAGTATTATCGTGGAGCTGATGAAGCAGGCTTCTGTGCCTGTGTGTATGCTGCTGACATTCCTGCTTTCACTTGTCTCCAGTGTCTATAAAAGCAGGTATGTGATGCAAGATGGGGCAGCTTGTGTGCTACATTGAAACGTAGTCCAACCCAAGACTATCAGTATGCACAGGTTTCCGGCTCAACCCCAGCAAGCAATGTGCATTGTGTTAAAATTTTTCCGCCTAGGTGGGAGTGAGACAGTCTGAGTGGCCATCAGGGATCTGTTAGCCAACTCAGAGTCAATTTCCCCACAATGAGTAAAGACCATACTGTACCTTTCTCACAATAGCAATTCCAACCCTGAGGAGCTGCTACTGATAGTAGCCCTACCCTATTTAAGTGGGAGGGCAGGGACTTGCTGTCTGTGATAGTCTCCCTAACACCCGTGGGCCAGCCCATTACAAGTTAATGTTGAATGGATGATTAGCCTGTGTTGGGTTCCAGAGCATAGCAGCTGGTGGGGAAGCCCCTGACTGAAATCTTCCGTTGGAGCCATATTTACATGGAGCTTGAGGGTAGTGGGGGTGGGATTTGAGTCTGGTACTGATGCAAGGTATAATCTTGTCGTATAGATAGTAACAGTTCCCTCAAACTCCAGGAGGTTTCTGGGGGAGCTATGAGGTTTTGCAAGCTGAACTTCTTCCCATTTTCACTGGGGGCAAACCCTCTGCCTCAGCTTCGTGAGTTGAACCATGGGTTCTTCCAGCCACTGCTTGAATGACAGGGTGATGCAAAGAGAGCTAACCTGTAAAGAGAGCTGGCTGTATTTCAAGGAATCCCTGTTGAGGTTACAGGGACAAACCATCCCGATGAGTCGAAAGAATAGTAAATATGGCAGGCGACCAGCTTGGCTTAATGGTGAAATCTTAGCGGATCTTAAACATAAAAAAGAAGCTTACAAGAAGTGGAAGGTTGGACATATGACCAGGGAAGAGTATAAAAATATTGCTCGGGCATGTAGGAATGTTATCAGGAGGGCCAAATCGCACCTGGAGCTGCAGCTAGCCAGAGATGTCAAGAGTAACAAGAAGGGTTTCTTCAGGTATGTTGGCAACAAGAAGAAAGCCAAGGAATGTGTGGGCCCCTTACTGAATGAGGGAGGCAAACTAGTGACAGAGGATGTGGAAAAAGCTAATGTACTCAATGCTTTTTTTGCCTCTGTTTTCACTAACAAGGTCAGCTCCCAGACTGCTACGCTGGGCATCACAAAATGGGGAAGAGATGGCCAGCCCTCTGTGGAGATAGAGGTGGTTAGGGACTATTTAGAAAAGCTGGACGTGCACAAGTCCATGGGGCCGGACGAGTTGCATCCAAGAGTGCTGAAGGAATTGGCGGCTGTGATTGCAGAGCCATTGGCCATTATCTTTGAAAACTCGTGGCGAACCGGGGAAGTCCCGGATGACTGGAAAAAGGCTAATGTAGTGCCAATCTTTAAAAAAGGGAAGAAGGAGGATCCTGGGAACTACAGGCCAGTCAGCCTCACTTCAGTCCCTGGAAAAATCATGGAGCAGGTCCTCAAAGAATCAGTCCTGAAGCACTTGCATGAGAGGAAAGTGATCAGGAACAGCCAGCATGGATTCACCAAGGGAAGGTCATGCCTGACTAATCTAATCGCCTTTTATGATGAGATTACTGGTTCTGTGGATGAAGGGAAAGCAGTGGATGTATTGTTTCTTGACTTTAGCAAAGCTTTTGACACAGTCTCCCACAGTATTCTTGTCAGCAAGTTAAGGAAGTATGGGCTGGATGAATGCACTACAAGGTGGGTAGAAAGCTGGCTAGATTGTCGGGCTCAACGGGTAGTGATCAATGGCTCCATATCTAGTTGGCAGCCGGTATCAAGTGGAGTACCCCAAGGGTCGGTCCTGGGGCCGGTTTGTTCAATATCTTCATAAATGATCTGGAGGATGGTGTGGATTGCACTCTCAGCAAATTTGCGGATGATACTAAACTGGGAGGAGTGGTAGATACGCTGGAGGGGAGGGATAGGATACAGAAAGACCTAGACAAATTAGAGGATTGGGCCAAAAGAAATCTGATGAGGTTCAATAAGGATAAGTGCAGGGTCCTGCACTTAGGACGGAAGAACCCAATGCACAGCTACAGACTAGGGACCGAATGGCTAGGCAGCAGTTCTGCGGAAAAGGACCTAGGGGTGACAGTGGACGAGAAGCTGGATATGAGTCAACAGTGTGCCCTTGTTGCCAAGAAGGCCAATGGCATTTTGGGATGTATAAGTAGGGGCATAGCGAGCAGATCGAGGGACGTGATCGTTCCATTCTATTCGACATTGGTGAGGCCTCATCTGGAGTACTGTGTCCAGTTTTGGGCCCCACACTTCAAGAAGGATGTGGATAAATTGGAGAGAGTCCAGCGAAGGGCAACAAAAATGATTAGGGGACTGGAACACATGAGTTATGAGGAGAGGCTGAGGGAGCTGGGATTGTTTAGCCTGCAGAAGAGAAGAATGAGGGGGGATTTGATAGCTGCTTTCAACTACCTGAAAGGGGGTTCCAAAGAGGATGGCTCTAGACTGTTCTCAATGGTAGCAGATGACAGAATGAGGAGTAATGGTCTCAAGTTGCAGTGGGGGAGGTTTAGATTGGATATTAGGAAAAACTTTTTCACTAAGAGGGTGGTGAAACACTGGAATGCGTTACCTAGGGAGGTGGTAGAATCTCCTTCCTTAGAGGTTTTTAAGGTCAGGCTTGACAAAGCCCTGGCTGGGATGATTTAACTGGGAATTGGTCCTGCTTTGAGCAGGGGGTTGGACTAGATGACCTTCTGGGGTCCCTTCCAACCCTGATATTCTATGATTCTATGATTCTAACCGTTCGGTATTTCACCCCAGTAGTTCTGTAGCCAGGATGCCCTAATCTCTGTTTGCAGTGAAGTGCCTCTGTAGCTGAGGAACACTGAAATGTTGGCAAACTGGGCATCTAATTCCAACTTTTGACATCAAATGGCACTGCTACAGCCCTGGGATTGGATAGCAGGAGGTTAATAGGAGCAAACTGGATCAAATACATCTTTGCTGGAACTCTGTTAACTTTACTTACCTCGTGTACTGAAATGGAGTTTCACCAGAATGAATATGATTCCTCCAGTGTAACATCCTGCAAGTGCTGGCACCAAAGGGGAAATCTGAACAGACCTGAAGGAAAAAAGCTCTTGCATATAAAGCTTAGTACCACAGCTGGGAAAGCCATCTAGTGAGATTGTGTCGTGTTGCCAAAAAGGGGATTGGTGTTCAGTGTTCAAGCTGGAAGAGGACAGTTTGATTAATCAGATCTGGATAACCGTTACTAAAGCATTCATGGACAAATCTTTTCAAGTATAGCCTCAAGCTATGGGGAATAGAATCTTTTAACAGGTTTCCAATTGTGTAATACTGTCATGAAAAATCACGGTGAACCACTTCATACAGAATGGCTTTTTGGATTTTTCTGCTTCACGTGTAAAGCTGAAACTTATATTTTTTTCTAATTATCTGTTAAAGTCATTTTAGGGTCAAACTCAGACTTGATATAAGTAGATGGAACTCCATTGGTTCCAGTGGAATTTCACTATTGTAGTGGGTCTGAATTCGGCCTTTGATTATATTCATGGTATCATTATCTAGTTGGGTAGAGCACTCAACTGCGAATCATGTGTTCCAAGAAGAAAAGGAGTACTTGTGGCACCTTAGAGACTAACCAATTTATTTGAGCATGCTCCAGTGATTCACTATGTGGCCCTGGAAAAATCACTTTGTCTCTCTCTGCCTGAGTTTCATTATCTGTAAAATGGGCAGAACACCTACCTAGCATAGGTATTTGAAGGTATTAGGCTGGAACTTAAGAGATTTGGGTTCAGTTCTTGATTCTGCCACAAACTTCCTGTATGACCTTTACATATCACTACTCTTTGAGAAATTCTGCGCATGCTCTGCAAACTCTTCCTCCCACCCCAGTCCCCCCATGTTTTCTGCATCCATTGCTCCTCAGCTGCAGGGGGAGGGATCTCTGTACAGGGAACTGCTCCCCCATACACCCAGACCCTCCCACCGAGCCTCATCCCCCCACCTGCACTCAGAACCTCACTTGTGAGCCCCACTCCCCTGGCACATGGACTACCCTGACAAGCCATCCGGATCCTCACCATACCAAGCTCCAAACAGTTGCACTTGAATCCCCACCCCACTTAGTCCCACTCCCCCAGCATCTGGACCCTACCACTGAGCCCCCCCACACCCAGAACCCCCTGCTGTGCTCTATCCCCCCCACACCCAGACACCCCTTCTGCTGAGCCCCAACTACCTTCACCTGGACCCCCCCTGCAGAGTCCCATTACTGTTGCACCCAGAAAGCCCCAACAAGCCCCTGTGCATCCAGATTCCCCCTGCACCCGGATTCCCACTGAGCCACCTGCACCCAGATTGCCCCACACAGAACCCTTTCAACCCACACCTGGATCCCCCCACGTTAAGCCCCTCCACACTTGGATCCTGCCTTGCTGAGCCTGCCTGCCCACACCTGGTGCACTTGGCACAGAGGGGCAGGGCTCTGGGGTGTTTCTGGGGCAGGCCCGGTCCTTGCACAGTGTCAAGGTTGGATGCAGCCTCACCGCTGAGTCCGTGACCCCAGGGAAAGTTGCACAGTGATCTCCCACCTCTGTGCAGCCAGTGGCCTGTGTTCCCCAGTGCTATGCTGGAGCCTCCACATTTATTTGACAAATAAAATTTGCAGAATTTTAAAATATTGTGTGCAGAATGCCCTCAGGAGTAATATCACTTAATCTCACTAGGCATCTCGTTTAAGCCTCCTTTGTGTCAGCCTACTTGGTGCAAGGGTCATAGGGCAGTTGTAAGACTTCTCCCCTCTCTCCCGCACCTCCCATGGAATACTTCCAGTCCTGGGCGGGGGGCATCTATACCTGGCATAGAACTGGCTCCACCAGGTCTGTGCTGCCTCCAGTCACTGGGGGCGTTCCAGGGTTTGGAGCAGGGGCAGGCCAGAGGAGGGAGGACCTGCAGCCTGGTGATTCTGCATCTCTACAAAGCCTCCTAAGAACCACTGAAGTCTGCCCCTCCAGCCCTTGCAGAGAGGAAAGTGGTGGTTGTGGTTCAGATTTTGAACCATTTGACTTCAGAGAAACTGTATATGGCAATGAGTTTTGACAGTCACTACTGTCCCTGGGGTAATTCCTTTTGGTAATGCCTGTGGTGATAGAATTGTATTTGCTGAAGACATATGCGGTGTCCTCTCTCCCTGAGCTGCTGCAAGTGTCCTTCACTGAGTGCTTGGGGAGCTTCAGTCTGCACTTTACATATTAAATGCTAGTTCCTTCCAGGCTGTTAAAATCAAACCATGAGGTGATGAGTCTGTTATTGCAGGTGTTGGTTTTGATCTATAAAGGTCAAATGATTTGGGTCCTGGCTACCTTAGATACTTCAGCTAAGGGTACCTTAGGTACAGTCTTGTACCATAGTAGATGAGATCATCTGGGGTGCTTGAGCTAGCAGTTCTCTGGTTTAATGAGAGGGGGCTTCTGGCAGGGTGATTTCAGTGAAGGGACCTCAGTTCTGGAACTCACTACTTCGCCTTGTGCTGACAGAGACCAAGTTTGCTGCTTTTGGGGGCATGCTGCAAGGCTTATCTGTCTTCCCAAGCTTTTGTGCAGTGAGTGGGTTAGAAGGGGTTGTTAGTCCTGACAGGCTGGAGGATTTGATTACTGAAATCCACCCAAACTGAGAGTTTTTTGTATGTTTCTTTTAGAATCTATACCTGCACATGCAGATAGGATGGCACATATACAAATCTCATGAATAAATGAGATTTCCCTGGCAAAAACATAGGCTGCATACAGTGATTGAGACTTACAAAATGCCCACACATTCTGTAGCAGGTACATTGATCTGAAACATAGGCTTCTCTTCAGCACCACTCTGTGCCTAGTGGTGGTAATTGCAGCTTAATTTTTAGGGTTTGTATGCAGAACTTCCATTAACACTGAAAGGTCTCCAGTGCATTGTTAGGAGCATTAGAATAATTTAATATTGTGGCAGTAAACTCCACATGTTCCTCTTTTTAAAAATAAGCTGCTTAATGGCTTCCTGTTGATACTATCTAACCCTCAGAGTCCTCACCCAGTAGGGAGGCTTTGTTCCTGGAATTGTAGCACAGAGCAACAAGGCAGCCAAGAGGTTCTAGTTAATGGAGCTTTCACATTTGTGTGCAGTCCAGATTCAAATATGTTGCTTTTCATCTAGAATCTGTGGTATCCATCCACAGTCTTGGAACAAATTATCTGAACTGGAAAATCAGGAGTGTCTGTGCAAAGTACGTTAAATTACTTGCATTTGGAAACACCCCCGATATCCACTCTCGTTGCTCAGAACTTTTCCATTTAAACAGTGTAACGATATAAAAGCCAGTCATTCTGCTCCATATTAGAATTTTCTGTTACATTTATAAGAAACCAGTCTGCATCCTGTAAGGCTGAAAATGTAAGGAGCATTTGTGGTAACTTGTCTTACATTGCAGGGGTAATATAAAATCCTGGAATTATTTTTGGTTTTCTTGCTTGGATATTATTACAAATGGAAATTTCCATAGCTGATCCTACAATCGCTTTATTGGTCTCTTTCTCTGTGTGTCTGGAGTAGATATATTTTCAAGATTACTGCTTTTTCTTTCTCATTTCTTTTGGCTAGGAGTGAGGCATGGAGGTTGGTTTTGATGAAGTTTAGTCCTAAGAAAAGAGAGAATCAGGCATAGTACAGACAGGCATTGCACACCCTTCCTCAAAACAACATTTTAAGCATCCTCTGTTATTCCAGTGCTGAGCTTCCCTTGAACAGTGTCTGCAGACTGTAGTGGTTTTGTGATTTGGACAAACATCCATATATGGTAATATTCTTATCACCTCTCTTTGCTTCTGCATTGGGTCCAGGATTAGATGTGACATTGATCTCTCACAAAGTTCAGTTGTGACATGATCTCATAACAAAGGTCCATGGAGATGTCAAAGACATTGATGTCAATATCAACTATCAAAGACATTGGAGAACCAATCTAGTTTCAAAATGGCTTGTTTCTCACATTTCTTACCAGTGTTCAAAGTAAGGGGTAGGGTAAGGAAGATTTCCAACCCCCAAATCAGTTACCTCCTGGGAGGAGCTTGCAGAAGTTGCCTGGAACAGTGGGTTCTTCAATTTTGGCCTTCTGTGGACAACCTCATTGGGAAGGGGAAGAAGATTTCTCCCTTTGTCCTGCATTTGTAGCAGGATTCTTTGCCCCAGCAAATGTTCTGCAGGCCATAATTTGTGAACCATTGGGTTAAAACATGATCAGAAAAGAAAACTCATCTCCACTTGTGCCTCATTGCATCTATGAAGCCAGGTCTGCCAGATCAGTGGCCAGTGTAATAACCTTCTGTGCTTCCCCTCCTCCCCCTATTCTTTCCTCTGTCACTTTGGATGTTACACACTGACAGGCCAGTTAAACAGCAGTGCATTAATTTGACTTTGAGGTGGATGGCTGTACTGAAGAGCAGAATTATTCAGAGGCCCTGAATTGAGGAGAATGATTCAGAGTACACTGCATGGGATTCAAAGCCAGTGCATCTAACATCTGAATTGGCGGGGGGGGCGTAAGCCCTTCAGGGCTCTGGGTTTTAAACTGATAAACCCGCTGTGAAGTGCAACTGAAGAGGCCCAGAAGTGCACCCTCACTGAATCCTGCAGTTCTCAGCCAGCTGCCCAGTTACTGTTTGTGGGTTGGATTACTCGTGGTTGGATAGCTAGAATGATGTATGAATTGCAGCACAAGGTCCAGTTGGTATGTTGTACTGTCCACTTTCAAACACATGCTCCTGCTGCTAGATCCCAGGCTAAATTCAGCCAACTGTAGTTTGGAGAAAGCGGATGCAAGCCCCATGGAAATCCAGATCCAGCAGTTATGTAAATTCAAGAACGAAGTAGGGTAACTTGCGCTGATTTGGCAATTCAGCGGGGTTGCAGACTGAGTTAAGCTTACATGAACATACCAAGGAATTGGAAGGGGTGAGTGAGGTCCTTGAAAAGGAACTAATAGGTGGGCATAGAGAAAGAAGCTCACTTACCCTTAATGTAATGTATGCTGCAGCCTCCCCAGTACTTCCATGGCCAAACTAAGCTCCAGTGGAAATGGGTGAAACTCCTATTGACTTCAGTAAAGAACTGACCCCCACTTGATAATTTTTCCTGCTTAGCCATGCTGCAGTCAGACACTTTAATAGACAATCATGATAACTAAGGCTGGGATTTTCAAAGACACCCAATTTTCAGTGAAATTCAATATGGGTTGGGTGTGAATAATTCCAGCCTAAAAATGTAGTTAATGTAAAAAGGCCATACTGTACCATTGCTCACTATGCAAACCTCCCATTAGTGGGAGATCTGCTGAGGATTGAGGGTAGCGTGCATACACCCTGACCCACAAGCCATAATTTAAAAATGGAATTCAGCCCTCTCTGGAGAATGAATTTGACACAAGGGACGCTGGTAGATTGGCATCTTTGTGAGGGCAGAGTTAAGGTAATCTCAGTGTCTTGTTTTGGAAGGGCATTGCTTAGTTTTCTAATGGTTGAAGGTTTTAAAAATTAGAGATTTAAAAAAAATTATTTTGCACCCAAACCAGTTATGTGTTTGCACAACCTTAAATTCACCTGAAGTAAGTGTTTGGTGTGGGAATTTGTAGAAGCGTCATACCACCTGTTTCGCTGGCAAAAGTATCAGAGAGGATTCCCCTTGTGTTTCTACAGAGTGCTGAAGCTTTGGCCTTTGTCTTTCATCTGGAGTAAACTCTCAACTTGTGAACAGTTGGGGCACCGACTGGAGCACCTCCAGATCATCAGCAGCAACAGGAAGGCTCAGAACCAGACACAACTAATGAGGTATGGTGTATGTGTGTGTGTTTTCTGACAACCCACTGAGTCCTTGACCCCTATCACCAGCTGGAACCTTCATCATCCGTGTACCAACCAATTTCTTCTCTAGCTTTAAGGAAATCCAGCCTCCTCTGGCTCTGGTACTATCATATAGCTGATACTGAGGTTGCCACCCACTTGTTTTCCTGCACTGAATGGTTGGCTTGTTTTTTATTGTAGAGGCAGCTTGTATTGTAGCAGTAATATGATTTTACAGGAATATGTGGGGGTGGCTTTACTTTTTTGTGGAGTTGCAGTGTGAGAGAGATTTTTACTATCCCATCAGTCTCTTCCTCATATAATCTCTTCCCCCTCCCCCCACCAACACATACTTGTGCCTCCAGAATATCTCTGCTATGCTAAGGAACATTTAAGTTTCCATCCAGAAACGTAGTGTCACTGAAGCTAGCGTGGGAAACAGGACAGGGATGCACTGGCAGAGCTGCACAGGGCAAACTTGCTCTGCGGCTCTGTAGAGCATAGGTTCTCAACCTTTTTCTTTCTGAGCCCCTCCCCACCCCACCCAACATGCTATAAAAACTCCACGGCCCACCTGTGGTTTTCTGCATACAAAAGCCAGGGCCAGCGTTAGGGGGTAGCAAACTGGGCAATTGCCTGGGGCCCCATGCCACAGGGGCCCCTGCAAAGCTACATTGCTCAGGATTTAGCTTCAGCCTCAGGTGGCAGGGCTCAGGGCCCTGGGCTTCAGCCCCATGCAGTGAGGCTTCGGCTTTCTACCCACGGCCCCAGTAAGTCTAATGCTGGCCCTGCTTGGAGGCCCCCCTGAAACCTGCTCACGGCCCCCCTGCTCAGGGCCCCGGACCCATGATTGAGAACCACTGCTGTAGAGCCTTTGCTTTCACAGGCATTGAATTAATCAGATGGGATATAAAATCAAGGTTCCATGGCACTTGCCACAAAAGTAAGAGTATCAATCCCCACCCCCTTTTCCCAGTACTCTGGAAAATCCATCCTCTGGTAACTGAAGACAAGGAGTAGCAATAAACATCGAAGTAACAGGAAAACCAGGCAAACACAAAACCCCACAGTGAGTAGAAGAGGGAGAGGCAAAGATCAGAGATGGATATAGACTCCTTAAGGCCATCACTGTGCAAATCTTACTCTATGTGGTGCTCAGATACTGTAGTCATTGGCTCCAAGGGAATACTTAAAATACATGAATAGATTTTAAGGCCAAAATAATACTGTGATTATTTAGTCTGATTTTGTGCGTAACTCAAGCCATAGAATTTCATCCAGAAACACTTGCAGTGCGGGGGGAGTTATTCTACCCTATTGTGTAAGTAAACATTTATTTAGCCCCATGACTAGTGGTTGAACTGAGGCATACCTTTTAGAAAGGCCTCTGATCTCTAATTAAATACTCCAAGTGATGGTGAATTTATCATAGCTGAATCCCAACTTAAGCGCTTACCTAACATTCCTCTTGGAATTTCAATCCAACTCTACTCAGTCACCCTGTGAAAACCTGTTGTGTAGTGTTCTGGCTTAGCATGGATGCTGTATTTGACCCCAGAGACAGCAGTATATTAGTGATAGGAAAGCAGCCCCTATTCTGTGTATACCAGGGTTGGCCAAACTCACTGACCATCCAAGCTGCATACAACTTCAGAAGTTTGAGAGCTGGGGCACACGAGCCAGGGCTCAGGGCTTCAGCCCCATTCCTGCTGAAGCCCGAAGCCCTGGCAGATGTATCCCAGAGGGCTGAAGCCATGAGACCCTCCTCCCTGCTGGACAGGTGCTCCTATCCGACCACCCCACCGCAAAACAGAGGTCCCGAGCTTTCCTTCCCCTCCCCTCCCCCTCCCCCTCCCCCCCCCCATTCTGGTAGGCGGAGAGGGCTTGCATTTTAATGGTAAAAGAGGCTCGCGAGCCACAGTTTGGCCAGTCCTGGTGTATATCTTCAGTAAAGAGTCTTGATGACCTTCAGAAATGAAAAGCGCTGTGTAAATGAAACTGGTGATGATTGTTATCCAAACATGAAACAGCCTTCTTCCTGTGCTCTAATTTTGTTCTTCTGTCTCCTGAATGCAGGAAAGCAAACATCTTTGTTTCTCTCCTCATTGACATGGCTCTGGGAATACTGCTAATGTCCTGGCTGTACAGAGAGAATCGGATTGGTCAGCTTGCCGACACACTCATCCCAGTGGCTGATGTAAGTCTGCCTGGAATCGTTTGTACTTCATCTCTAGTGTAGAAAGTGAACAGCAGTTCATACTTGTGGTAATTGTAGAGCAGCAGGCCTGTGCGTGAGGATTTCATGCAGAGAAGAGAAGCATTGACAGAAGTCACAAAAAAATTAGGTCTCCTCAAAAGCGATTAAATCTTCAAACCAAACCTGTTGAGACTAATCAAATGTAACATTGCTCTCCTCTGAGTATCCAATGAATACAAATTAGATATTTTCTGGAGGGCACTTCCTGCTCACAAGGTAACAATTACATCATGAGCACAATAAATAACTTGAAGGCTGGAGAATGGAGTGCTTATCCGCCCAGGACACTTTTATTATGGAGTTAACAGGAAGTGCCCTCAGGCTGTGTTCTAATGGGGTATCTGGGAGGGGGGGAAAAGTTAACCCAGTTAGGTCTCAGAAATCATTAAACTGGGGGAAAAAAACTCGAGAAGTTGAGGCAGCTATGTTTGGTGAGAGCATGTTGGTGGTGAGTTCTGAGGGCAGTAGCTAGTCAGAGTAGGTAACACTGAAATTCTCTCTCAAGTGTGCTAATGGTAGATTGGGGAATTCACCTTCTCCTGTGCCATTCTCCAACCTCAGGCCCTAAATGGCCAGTATAAATTACCTAAGAACAAGCATGACCCATAGCATCCTGTTTTTCTGGCACTAGGGACTTCTCTAAAAGGCTAATTAGTGCATGGGAGGCTAGTGCACAGCTTGCCATGCACTAACTAGCCATGTAGACAAGCCCCTAATTTCTTATATTTTGAATGTGTAACTTGAACATACGTGCAACCTTTGCTCCAATTTAACCTTTTTTTTTGGGGGGGGGGGTCTTTTTTTGGCTTGGGAACATATTGTGTTTGTGTGTAAATTATTATCTAAGTAGAACTTACCTTTAATAGGTAAAAGACCATTTTGTCATTCAGTGGAGCTGAAAAAAAATTCAAAATGTATGCATCCTGCTCTTGAGTTGCAGCGTTTGTGTCATGATGTTTGTGTCAATGATGTGCTGGTGTTCCATCATTTTGTGACTCAGCATTGTCGCATATTGATGAATACTGTGATAAGGCTGCACAACATCATCCCTTCTCTGTCCCTTCCCTTTGGTTTCTGGGAAAGAGGGACAGATCTTTCCTTTTGTCTTACAATGCCTCTGCTGCAGGAGTCCTCGCTTTACTGTCTCCAGTTTCTGGATGGGAAGGGACTCCAGTCCAACTTATGAGGAATTCCATCAGCAACTTATTTTCTCTTCTTCATCCACTTTTTGGGAGGAACTCACAGCTTCCCTGCTGTTGGTTCCTTTTCTCAGTGCTCCTCACACTAATAACACATTGGGCAAAACTAGTAGCACTCTTGTGATCATCTTTCTGTATGCGACGCAGACACAACAAGCAAAGTGTCTATCATGCACTTACCACACAAGAGCTTAAAGTGGCTCATTACTATTGTCTAGTCGAACTTTCAAGGGTGGACCCAGTTTCAGCTGCTCAATGTTGCTGGGAAGGGGGGAAGAGAGGGTGATGGTTGGAATATAAGTCTCCCCTTCTAATATTTGATATAATGGTAGGATTAATGTGAGGCGTAAACTCGGAACCTTTTTATACATTGTTATTCTGAAGTCTGTTCCCATGTGGAGATCTTTCAGCTGGAAGATCACCTGCCCTCTAGTGCTCTCTGCAGTCTGCTTTCTTAGTAAGTGTGAGACAACAATGACTTTAGCTCAGTTCCCATGTGCACAGGTGGACTCAAGAAGTGTTCCATCTGCCCAGTGTTAATGGCAGATGGACACTCTCATGCTCAAAGTGCATTGGATCACACTACCTGTCCTGGATAGGAATGCTGTAGGAGTTTCTCATTTTCTCCTCTTCAATCATGCAGATAAATCATTCACTCCCACTTGGATGTTGCAATATCCATTACTTACCTAAGTAGCCTACGATGTCTCAGAAATACAGAGAGGTGTGCACTCAAGAGCTTACTTCCCTGGAGATTTGAACTACTCCCTTGCTGTACGTTCTTCTCAGTTTGCCCCTCCCTGTTTGTCTAAGGTATTGCTTTACTTCTATGTCCATGATTATCGGTGAGATTTCATGCCAATTACAATTTCTCCTTGCTTCAGGAACCTGGTTTCTTCACTGTGGGCTCCATGGGCACATAAAGCCTCTAAAGTCACTGGGAGCTCTTTCATAGACTTCAGAGGGCACAGATTAGGTGTCAAGTGCACATAAGAGGTGGGCCTGAGCCATTCAGAAATATCACCGTGATAACTTCAGCACATGTGGTGCAAGACAGCACCATTTTGTTTTCCAGTATGACAGCAAAATCTCATCTGATCCATCCTGCAGTGGGTTTCCGGTAGCTGCTGAATTTTTATCTGGCATTCATTATCCCTCGCACTGGAGCTCTGTCAGGCTGGCTAAAAGTTGCCAAGTTTGGTAATAAAAACTTCCCCAATGTTTTGGATTATTATGACTTTTCCCAGTGCTCCAGGCTATCCTAGTTCTGAAATATACCCTTGGTCAGCTAATGGCATTGATCTCTGGGCTTCTTTTATCAGTAGGTCTGATAGTAAAAAAAAATAGGACGACTTAATCCGTTACCACAGTTCCTGGCCTTGAGAGAAGAGAATTGCCTCAGTCGATTTTATACATGCAAGCTTTTAATTGTGTGGGAAGAAGTGCAGTGCCATAGTTTTCCTTCCGTTCTCCTATTAATCCCATTCACGGCGAGCCTCTTCTCTCTTGCCTCTCTCAGGTCTATTGCATGCTAATTGGAATCCATCCAGCATACTGTAGGTTAGACTCACCAAACCTTCCATTCCTTCTGTGATGGAATGCACCCTTGTATTCACATCCAAAACACTACTGTAATTATCTTTGTACAAGGCACACCTTTGGAGGTATCATTTGAAATCTCATAACATATCATGGTAAAATGCTTGTGGAAACATTATGTGTGAAGTTGTTAACATAAGCTGACATCATGTCTAACATGTGTTTCCCAGATAAGTTTGGGAAGTGGCTACACCAATTTTTCTAAGACAAAGAGCAAGCTGATGCCCCAGCCAGGTGTCCACAAAGCTGATGGGTCATCATCTGTCAAGTGGCCATTGTTTGGCAAGAAAGAGGGGCGGGGACAAAGAGATCTACATCTTAGCAAAGAAACAGCATGAGATCTCTTTGCTCCACCAGCCCGTCTCTTGGTTCTCAGTTGGAAATGCTTTTCAGAGAGGGACTGACACTATAAAAAGGAGGGGCAAACACCCCAAGAGACCCCCTCCTCTCTCTCCCTGTCCATCTCACTCTTTGCACCTGAGAAGACAAAAGAAGCAGCCATTGGACTCTGGAGGAGGGGTCCTGACCTTAAGAGTTTGGTCAGTTATACTGTGGGAAGCATATGGTGAGAAATTTTGTTTTAAATCTAATATAGTTTGTCAGGCACTAGAACGAGTTTTATCTTTATTTTTCTTGTAACCATTTCTGACTCCTGTACCTCATTGCTTGTACTCCCTTAAAATCTCTCTCTTTGTAGTTAATAAACTTGTTTTGTTGTTTTATCTAATCCAGTGTGTTTAAGCTAAAGTGTCTGGATAACTCCATTTAGGGTGGCAAGTTGTGTGTATATTATTCTCTTAAAGAAATAATGGACTTAATATATTTGGACTGTCCAGGAGAGGGCTGGGCAGTATAAGGCATAATTTCTGGGGGGGGAAATCCAGAACTGGGAGTGTGTTGGGGCGCCCTGCTGTATAACGAAGGCTGGTGAGAGTCAGGGTGTGACTGGCAGGCTGCAGTTACACAAACACATTTGGGAGGGACCTGCATGCTAGCAGGCTGTTTGTGAGCAGTCCAGATTGGAAGCTACAACAGTAAGGCATTGCAAGGCACCCCAGGTTGCATGGCAAGGGTGACCTAGCCCCTGACTGGTTTGGATTGCACTCTGGTATGTCACACCTTCCCACTAGCCCTGTCTGTGGAGACAAAAAAAAATAGGTATGTCACTTTCTCCTTTTCCAGCTGCCAGCACTGTAAGCCCAACCTGCTGTGTGGAAATCAAGCTGTGCTCCTCCCCCATCATTCCTCATCCCCAGTGATAATGATTCAGCACGTAGCTGACAATTGTCGATACTACACAAGACATCATCGGCTCCAGCTCCCTCTTTCACAGCTTGACTAGCTGTGCAGTGCTGACTATAATAACAAGTTGCTTTTGTCAGTAACTGAAGCAGATGTGATTCAGAGGCATCTAAGGAATAGCTCTGTGCAGTACAAAAGGCCTGTTTTGGAGTCAGCTGTCTGAATGTATAGTGGAATAACCTTTCTTAGTTCCATATCTGCCCTAACCTCCTCCTACACACCTTACCACTTCCTCTGCTCAATCCAAGCTTCCCTGCTGGCAGCTCCAGACTCTGCCTTCTTCCACACTGCCCCTTCTCCCAAAAGCCTCACAATAGATCTTCTACACTAAGTCCTCTTCCCTGTCTGAAAAAGAAACAAAACCTTCTAACTCCCCATCTTCTCTGTGAAGTGTTGTGGTTAGAAAGGCCAATCCCACATCCCATGCTGTCTATGTTCTGTATTAGTTTTGCTCATTTAAACTGTAAGGTCTTTGGGGCAGACACCTGTTTATTACCTGTCACAGATCGTGCCTCAATTAAACCATGCTGAATATTTCTGATCCTATACTAGTGATAACTGAATGCATCTCAAGTCAGATTTTAAAACAAGTCCTTTGTCGGTTATATTCTGCTAATCCATAAATAAAACAAGGAGAAAAGATGTTAATTTTGTTGTTGTTGTTACTATTATTATTATTATTTATTTATTAATTATAGTCCAGTAGTGCCTAGAAGCCAGGGCCTGTTCTGCTAGGCACTGTACAAACATATATCAGAAAGACAGTTTTTAGCTTTTGAACAGCTATGGTTTGCTCTGAGTTTTATGAGACCTCCCATTAAGAGCGCTTCTTTGCCTGTGCCTGTGCCCCGCTACCTATCCTGAACGGGCCTGTCATTCTCCTTTGATGCCACACCCATGGTCAAAGTTTCTATTGAGAAGAACCGGTGCACTGCAGTTAAAGAAATTCATTCCAGACTGAGCTGATCTAAACTACTTTAGCTGTGTTCTCAAGGTTAGTGATGCTCCCACAGCACTAATGAATTAATGAACTAACTAATTAATGAAATGACTTCCATGTAATGCACTACATTTCATCTATTAATATCCAACACATTCAGTATTAACGACTGCACCTAGAGGATCGGACTCTTAAAGTCATGTATTTTAGTCTATTTCTTCTTGCTGTCCATTGGCTCTAAAGCATCCAACAGCAAAAAAAAAAAAAAAGCCACAAGAGGCTACACCCCAGGGCCTGCAAAGTACAAACCCTACAAAGTAACAACAGCCATGACACAATGCAGGAATGCTCAGCAATAGTCAGGATTTAACTACAAACTGGAGTCATCTAAGGACTCCAGTAATTTTCTGTACCAGAAAACAACCTTGCAGAAGGACTGCTCTCAAACATTTAAATGTTTAATTAAAATTAAAAAAAAAACTTTTGCTAAGTTACAGCTGCAACATTTTAAATATTAACGGAGTTCTATTTATAAAGTATCTGGCACTTCTTTCTCAACGAGGGCCAGATTCATTGGTACAAGCCAGCCCTGGCTTGCAATGAGTGTTTTAAGGGATGTGAGGGCAAAGGAGAGTGGATGAGATGAACAGACAATCCTGTTGGCAAGGAAAACCATGTTCACTTTGCAAATGTAACCTGTAACTGCTACAAAACGAAAAGTATGTGTGGCTGTTATGTTTATAAATTCAGCAATGTCTGTGTGACCCTAGGATGAAAAGACATGCACATGCATCATTGGAAGATTAGGTCCATAATCCATCAGTCTTGGGTACCAAGTCTAGATTCTCCTGCATAATCCACCATTGTAGGCATATGTTTGATTTTGGTTATGTATGTGATTTGGGCATCTAACTCCCTTAGGCTTTCTCTTCACTGACACAAAGATGTTTTTTTAGATCAAGGTAACTAACGTGATAGTTATCTTGTTGTACAAAGTGGAGACAAGGCACTTGTAGTGTTTACTGCGAGGTTACTAGCCGAGATCTGCCCTATGTCCCCCTCCCATGGCTGACCTCACCTAATTTATCTTGTGGGAAACACTACAAGTGCCTTGTCTCTACTGTGTTTTTGCAGCAGGATAACTGCACACCTTATTGTCAATGAAGACATAGCCTCAAGCTCTCCTGAAAATCCCAGCCTATTTGTATAGCAGTCTTCCTCTGACCGATTTCTCTACCCATCTTAACTATTTGATCATCTCTAATGTATGTCATTTTGGGTAACCTGCTTACTCAGCTCTCAAGAGTTATCATTACCCCATGAGATCCTTCTGTAAAAATCACCCAGGTTGCTCTTCTCCCTGCAAAGGGGTTGTCAGAAGCACAATCTGTGATTTAATTTCTGACAAGGCTTCTAAGGAGATCCTGCTCTTAGGTGGTAGTATCTTAAGATTCAGACAGGGTTCGCTGGCTCATTGTGAGGTATATGCTATTTCTCATGTAACTCCTATAGTATTTTTTATGCCTCCGAGGCAGTTTTTCCCCAAAGATTTTAGAGGAATGGTGAGATTTTTCCAAAGCTATCAGTGCACGTGGGGAGTGTTGTGCCCGTACAGTGTAATTAACATTGCTTGTCTCCTTATGTTGCAGCATATAGCCAAAGAGCTCCAGGACCTGCTTCAGTGGCTAATGGGAGTGCCAGCTGGTTTAAAAATGAACCGGGCATTGGACCAGGTGTTGGGCCGGTTCTTCCTTTATCACATTCACCTGTGGATTAGTAAGTGCAGTTGTTTAACCTTTCATCTTTCCTTCTCACTTCTCCCTCCCTAGTGTCTAAGATTGTCCTAGTGATGTATAATGAATCAAAATTTGTATTGCAAGGACATACTGGTCTCTGAATCTTTCTGGTCTGGGAACGTGAGCCAAATTTGGATTCATGGAATCCACACAGGGAAATGTTATGAATTATACCTGATAGGACATGGACACAACTGCTGCGAATTATACCTGATAGGACACGCGCAGTATCTAAGGAACACTCCTCCTGGTGCATGATGTGCTTGCTTTTAGACAATGGTGGGCCCCAAACCAAAATGGAGTCACATGTGCTAACTTTTCCTTAACAGAAACGATGCAAATAAGTACAGTGCTCAGCTAGTTACTTTGCAGAAAGTAAGAGACATAGTGGAGCTAATTTATTTGGTAACAGTGATGGTCGGTGTCCAGGAGTAGGTCCAGGTTCCCCTGTAAACTTTATCTGCCCTACAAAGGGTAGTGCAACAGTGTGGTGGTAGGGAAATTTTATTTGGGGGTTGAAGTACAGGACCTGTCCTGTAACTGACTTCAGTTTAGTTTACAGCACTTCTAACTGCATTCTTCCCCCCAATTTGAAACAGAATCTCACTGGTCATAAGGATACCTTTTATGTTGGAAAATAGCCACGTTGGACACAGAATCCTTAGTAACTGTGACTGTCTGTCTGTTAATGAATGAAGCAGAGCTCTGGTTTTCCAAGGTTTCACCCTACCTTGATGATGATCAGAGAAGCTTCATGCCACTAAAAATGTTGCACAGACCATTTTCACAACAACTCCTTTGTGATGGTTTCTGTTGGAGTAGGAAATTTTGGTGAAAATGTATCAGTAATTGATTAGTATGTTCCTGAGAAATTTACCCCAGAGGATAAAGGAATAACAAGATGATCTTGTCTGGACAGGCTGAGCAGGTTTTTATGTGTCTCACTAAGACACACCTGGGCTGAGAGGATTGGGAAGGAAATGGGTGGTATTTGCCAGTCATTGTAGATGTAAGATGGCAGTCTAAGAGAATTTGCTATTTTTACTTTCATATGATCTTGATTCTGATCTCTGCAACAACATTCTGTGAGGGGGGGGAGAGAGAAGCTGAGGCCATCAAGCGTTTTATCTGAGGCTCCGGAGAACAAATAAATACCCTTTGTACAGTGTTACTCTTCCAACTTCCACCAGGCTATATCCACCTGATGTCTCCATTCATTGAGATGATCCTCTGGTATGTTGGCCTGTCAGCCTGTCTGGGCCTGACTGTAGCGCTTTCCATCCTCTCTGACATCATTGCACTCCTGACCTTCCATATCTACTGCTTCTATGTCTATGGAGCCAGGTGGGTGTATTTGACCTGTTTGTTTCTCAAGTATATCTAGTCCAAAAATCATATTGGGCCTAGTTGATCCCTGGTGTGACCCCATTGATTTAACAGGGGTAAAGCAGAAATTAGTTTGGCCAGTTATGTCCAAATGATTGAGTCTCAGCATTGAGCTGTACAAGCATCCCAAGTGTCTTAAATATAAGTGTCTTCTCCCCTTCGACAGTGGCGGTTAGAAAAGTAAAACTATGCTTAGGATTGGAATGAGAGAGATCAGTTTGCCCAGGCGTCCTAGATTTGAGGGGATAACTTGTGTTTAAGGCTGCTCCAGAAGTGACTTCTCCGGGCCCTAGGGTTGCCAACCCTCCAGGATTGTCCCGGAGTCTCCAGGAATTAAAGATTATGTCATGTCATGAAACCTCCAGAAATACATTCAATCAAAACTGGCACCCCTACCTCTCCCTTGCTTCAGAGGATTGCATCCATATGGAGTAACCTGTCGGATTTTCAACTGCAACACTCAGATTGCCCGATTTGTGGTTAAATTGCTGCTGTATTACCCCCTATGCCCCACTAGAGGGCCATGTGCACTTTACGGTCACAGGGAAATGGGTACAAACTGGGAAGGCCAAGGATATGTGTGTAAATGGCTGATGCTCATTCTGCCTTTTGTGTCACATTCTGTACTAGGTATGTCAGAGCTATTCTTGCAATAAGAATTCAAAACAAAATACGTTCGGTTTATGATCTACATTAACATGGGGGCATCCTTTAAATCACAAACTGTGATAGAGAATAGCAGCTTTATAGAGGAGACAAAATAGCGGAGGGAGTAAATAGGGGAAGCTACTGCCTAATAAGTATAGAGACCGCATTTTCCCAGCAGGGCGGTGGGGAGGTTAGAGGTACAGTACATTGAGTAGAGCAGAAGGAATTTCAGAGGAGTCTGCCCAGGCAAAGTTCATACGTAATTCTGGGAATGGTTAGAGGTAGAGAGACGTCTAATTTAAGAATCTTACTGTTACAATTAGAGAGCTTAGGACTAATAGCAATATTGCCTTGTAGGAAACTCATCCACAGAGCTCTTTTACTTGAAGTCTCTCCTTCTGGCTGTAGAGAGTGCATGAAGGGCTCTGTTCCTCTTAGGGAGGGGACAGGGTGGGCAGGGGTGAAAAAGGCAGAAGCTCTGTCCATGCCAAGCACTTCTGTCTTGTGGGCTTTGGCGTGCCAGTCTGCAGGGTTCATGTATCCTTGTTAGAAGTATAGCTACACAAGACACTTCCTCGTGAGGCCTGCATCAAGCTAACTCAGCTGTTGAGAATGACCTGTGGTGGGGAGGGAGAACCAGGCTGTGAGCTCAAAATACCCAAATAATAAAATTACCACAAAATCCTGGAAATTGAGCAACTGGGAGGAAAACTTCTGCAGCAAATGAATGCTGTTTAAGTGGCAAATTCACTGGCCGAGGAAATACGGAGTTCTTGGGGGTCTGTTTCCAAGGTAGCCACATGGTGAATAAATGACACCAGGAATACATATACAGATTGACACAGAAGGTATGGCAATATCAGACAGGTAGGTCATTGACACTTGACATTAGGTCATTGATTGCTTGGGACTGGGCATGTGCAGTATTAGTAAAAGGAATGAGAAAAGTGTGCACCAATCAGAGGAATTTGGTGCACAAAGGTTGAGTTGCACCAAGGTGCACAAAGGTCTTGGGAGCACTGTAGCCTATGGATTACTGTGCTGTTCTGAGCTTTACCAGCTCATTAGTAGCATTATACTAGTCTCTTCATGCTTTATGCTCCTTTCAGCTGTTTTCCTTTGTTTTATAAGATTTCCCCATTTCCACAATAGTGGTTTAGTGTTTTAACTGACTATATATTTTAATTGCACTCACAAAACTATGCTAAAAGAACAGTAGGTTTGCAAAGTCAAGTACTCCAAAGTTAGGAAATGCCAGAAATAAGGTTGTCTGTGTAACCCTTGTGCATATGCATTAGGATAAACTCTTTACATAGGAATTATTATTAATGATCAATTATTATCTCTTATATAGTGCTTTTCATCAGCAGATATCAGTAGATTGCATTTCGTAATCTTTAATGTATCTATTCTCACAACATCCCTGTGGGGTATGGAACTAGAATTATCTCCATTGTACAGATGGGAACTGAGGCACAGGAAAGCTAAGGGTCTCGCCCAATGTCACCCAGGAAGTCTGTGGCAGAGCAGGAAATTGAACCCAGGTCTCCCAAGTCCTAGGCCAGTGTGCTAACCACTATTTTTCCCTGTCTCATTCAGTGCGCAGGCTGGACACTGCTCACTGAACGAACAGCTATTCAATATTTTGTTTTATCTCTTTGGTCAGTGTGTTTTGTCTCCTTGAATTTGTGTGACTTCATTAGATTCACATCCTGCCCCTGCTGAACTGAGAGTGTGTGTGTATAGCAATGGTAGTTGCTTTGTGGTATAGGTGGGGATCTCTTGGTTCTAATTTGTGGTGATTCTCCCCTTTGCACAGGCTCTACTGCCTGAAGATCTATGGCTTGTCATCTCTCTGGCGCCTGTTCCGCGGGAAGAAGTGGAATGTCCTGAGACAGCGGGTGGATTCCTGCTCCTATGACTTGGATCAGGTAGTGGCAGAGCGTCAAGGAGGTGCTGTGATAACTCTGGCCACAAAGTCCTGCAGCATGACCTGATCTTGCCTCATTTAATATTGGTATACAGACCACCAACTGCTCAATTATATCCAAAATGAGTACAGCTCTTGGCAAGTTTTCTACATGGCTCCTCAAGCAAATTCTTGGCTACATCTGCTGTACCCCAAATCCATTCCTCCCCATATTCAAGGGAACTGATCCTGTGAGGTGCTGAGCAGTCGTAGCAATGTCAGTGAGAATTGCAGATGCTCACCACCTCTCAGGGTAAGGGTAGAGGAGTGGATATGTGGGAGGGAGACAATTTAAATAATTATAGTGGTGCCCAGCAGTGTTGCCATAGTAACATGCTTCTTAATGTTTCTATTAAAAGACCCTATTTAATTCACATTGGGTTGGAGCTTGGCCCACACATTTTCACCAGCATGTAGAAAAAAATTTTCTGGAATATTGTAAATCTGCTTTTTAAACTCTAAAATGCCACGGAAACAACATGAAAGTTGGTCAGAGCCAGGCTTCTCTGGCCTGATTTTAAAAGAATAATTTAAATGGCCCTGAATAAAAAAGCTGCTTGGCACACTATTTTATATTTTCACTTACCTTGAGCTTGAGAATTCCAGGTACAATGATAAACACACTGAGAGAGCGGCTAGCCTCATTACAGCTTCCAATCTTGCATTTGTAATCTCTGTTAAAGTGCTATTTGGTAGCTTCCAGGACCAGTGTATCTCAGTGAATTGCAACAGATAATCTTAAGCCTCTTATACAAAACTAGAGGAGCTACTTTTTCCTCTTTTCCCCAGTGACAGGAAAATAAGAACATCAGGGTCAGAAAGGCTGTGTGCGCTACAGCAGGGTTCGAGCTCATTGTATATTGATGATAATGGATTTGGCGCTAAGAGCCTCATCCTGCTGACATTGAAGCCAGTGGGAGTTTTGTCATTGGCTTCTGTGGGAACAGACTTTCAAAGCACAGACGTGAAAAGACTTTCTGAGATGCTAATACATGATGATTTTGCTAAGTAAAGGTGGGGGATGAGAGAGGAGCCTTTATTTGAAAAAAAAAAAAAACCCAGCTGTAAACTAGAAGTTGGCTAGGAGTGAGTTATAGTGTATTTCTGGTTATGTACTTAAATCCATGATGTGGATCTGCCTCTGGGGAAGGACCCTCTGGATACTATACTGAAGAAATAGAATCATAGAATATCAGGGTTGGAAGGGACCTCAGGAGGTCATCTAGTCCAACCCCCCGCTCAAAGCAGGACCAACCCCCAATTAAATCATCCCAGCCAGGGCTTTGTCAAGCCTGACCTTAAAAACTTCTAAGGAAGGAGATTCTACCACCTCCCTAGGTAACGCATTCCAGTGTTTCACCACCCTCCTAGTGAAAAAGTTTTTCTTAATATCCAACCTAAACCTCCCCCACTGCAACTTGAGACCATTACTCCTTGTCCTGTCCTCTTCTACCACTGAGAATAGTCTAGAACCATCCTCTCTGGAACCACCTCTCAGGTAGTTGAAAGCAGCTATCAAATCCCCCCTCATTCTTCTCTTCCGCAGACTAAACAATCCCCGTTCCCTCAGCCTCTCCTCATAAGTCATGTGTTCCAGACCCCTAATCATTTTTGTTGCCCTTCGCTGGACTGTCTCCAATTTATCCACATCCTTCTTGTAGTGTGGGGCCCAAAACTGGACATAGTACTCCAGATGAGGCCTCACCAATGTCGAATAGAGGGGACGATCACGTCCCTCGATCTGCTCGCTATGCCCCTACTTGTACATCCCAAAATGCCGTTGGCCTTCTTGGCAACAAGGGCACACTGCTGACTCATATCCAGCTTCTCGTCCACTGTCACCCCTAGGTCCTTTTCCGCCGAACTCCTGCCTAGCCATTCAGTCCCTAGTCTGTAGCTGTGCATTGGGTTCTTCCATCCTAAGTGCAGGACCCTGCACTTATCCTTATTGAACCTCATCAGATTTCTTTTGGCCCAATCCTCCAATTTGTCTAGGTCCCTCTGTATCCTATCCCTGCCCTCCAGCGTATCTACCACTCCTCCCAGTTTAGTATCATCCGCAAATTTGCTGAGAGTGCAATCCACACCATCCTCCAGATCATTTATGAAGATATTGAACAAAACCGGCCCCAGGACCGACCCCTAGGGCACTCCACTTGACACCGGCTGCCAACTAGACATGGAGCCATTGATCACTACCCGTTGAGCCCGACAATCTAGCCAACTTTCTACCCACCTTATAGTGCATTCATCCAGCCCATACTTCCTTAACTTGCTGACAAGAATACTGTGGGAGACTCTGTCAAAAGCTTTGCTAAAGTCAAGAAACAATACATCCACTGCTTTCCCTTCATCCACAGAACCAGTAATCTCATCATAGAAGGCGATTAGATTAGTCAGGCGTGACCTTCCCTTGATGAATCCATGCTGACTGTTCCTGATCACTTTCCTCTCATGTAAGTACTTCAGGATTGATTCTTTGAGGACCTGCTCCATGATTTTTCCAGGGACTGAGGTGAGGCTGACTGGCCTGTAGTTCCCAGGATCCTCCTTCTTCCCTTTTTTAAAGATTGGCACTACATTAGCCTTTTTCCAGTCATCCGGGACTTCCCCCGTTCGCCACGAGTTTTCAAAGATAATGGCCAATGGCTCTGCAATCACAGCCGCCAATTCCTTCAGCACTCTCGGATGCAACTCGTCCGGCCCCATGGACTTGTGCACGTCCAGCTTTTCTAAATAGTCCCTAACCACCTCTTTCTCCACAGAGGGCTGGCCATCTATTCCCCATGTTGTGATGCCCAGCGCAGCAGTCTGAGAGCTGACCTTGTTAGTGAAGACAGAGGCAAAAAAAGCATTGAGTACATTAGCTTTTTCCACATCCTCTGTCACTAGGTTGCCTCCCTCATTCATTAAGGGGCCCACACTTTCCTTGGCTTTCTTCTTGTTGCCAACATACCTGAAGAAACCCTTCTTGTTACTCTTGACATCTCTCGCTAGCTGCAGCTCCAGGTGCGATTTGGCCCTCCTGATTTCATTCCTACATGCCCGAGCGATATTTTTATACTCTTCCCTGGTCATATGTCCAACCTTCCACTTCTTGTATGCTTCTTTTTTATGTTTAAGATCCGCTAGGATTTCACCGTTAAGCCAAGCTGGTCGCCTGCCATATTTACTGTTCTTTCGACACATCGGGATGGTTTGTCTTTGTAACCTCAACAAGGATTCCTTGAAATACAGCCCGCTCTCCTGGACTCCTTTCCCCTTCATGTTAGTCCCCCAGGGGATCCTACCCATCCATTCCCTGAGGGAGTCGAAGTCTGCTTTCCTGAAGTCCAGGGTCCGTATCCTGCTGCTTACCTTTCTTCCCTGTGTCAGGATCCTGAACTCAACCAACTCATGGTCACTGCCTCCCAGATTCCCATCCACTTTTGCTTCCCCTACAAATTCTTCCTGGTTTGTGAGCAGCAGGTCAAGAAAAGCTCCCCCCCCTAGTTGGCTCCTCTAGAACTTGCACCAGGAAATTGTCCCCTACGCTTTCCAAAAGCTTCCTGGATTGTCTATGCACCGCTGTATTGCTCTCCCAGCAGATATCAGGAAAATTAAAGTCACCCATGAGAGCCAGGGCGTGCGATCTAGTAGCTTCTGCGAGCTGCCGGAAGAAAGCCTCATCCACCTCATCCCCCTGGTCCGGTGGTCTATAGCAGACTCCCACCACTACATCACTCTTGTTGCTCACACTTCTAAACTTAATCCAGAGACACTCAGGTTTTTCTGCAGTTTCGTACTGGAGCTCTGAGCAGTCATACTGCTCCCTTACATACAGTGCTACTCCCCCACCTTTTCTGCCCTGCCTGTCCTTCCTGAACATGATGATGCATTATTATCCTGTATCCTCTCTGTTATGGAAAATGTAATCTAAAGCTAAAGAGTCAGGTTGGAGCTATGTTGATATATGCCAGGCATTTATTGGAGGCAGGATCACTGGAAGTATTCCGAGTAATTAAGTATTATTCACCAACAAGATGGGCTCAGAAGCAATGGCGTGGGGGGAGGGGTATTGAGAATCTTCCACATGCCCACAGTCTAACCACTTAATACTATCTAAATTTCTTGTGCCAGTACTCAACTAACAATAGTTTATTGTGTCTTTTTTCCCCAGTTATTCATTGGCACTTTGTTATTTACAATCCTGCTGTTTCTTCTGCCCACAACTGCACTGTATTACTTGGTGTTTACCCTGGTAAGATTCAACCCTTAGAGATGGTCATATCTCATCTACGTATGTGAGTGAAGTATAAAAAAGATTGCTAGTTATTTTCCCCCATCCCCATACAAATATATTCCTATGACTGTCCCAGGAAGGGTTCTTGCCCACAGGCAATGTGGACCAAGCAGATGGAATTCAGGATACACACTTGTGTTTCTCTGAAGGGAATTCCCAGAAAATTAAAGTCATCAGGACAAACTGCTCCACTGTCTTTCCCTGGAGCCATATTTAATCTTTCCCTGCCATTTAGTGGGGTGGCTGCACCTCTGGTTTGACCCAGAACTTTTCCATCTGGAAATTAACCTTTTCCATTAAAATCTACTTGGCAAGACTTTTGCGGGGAGGGAATCGAACTCTTTGTCCAATCTGACCAGTCCGATTTGAGACATGGATGCACATTTTTCCGCTAAGAGCTGGAACCTTCACATAATTTTAGCCTCTCTTTTGAAAGGGAGAAGGGTAAAAATAGTACAGGACTCAAATGAGTTTGAGAGAAAAAATGATTGATAGTATGACAAAAGGAGGTGCTCAAATCAGCGACAGTGAGGGGCTGTGTGAGGATACTAAGCAGGGAACTCATTTCTAACTGGCGTGCTCCTGCTTAAATGCTCTATAAAGGGATTCTTCAGTCACCAGCAAGCTATTTCTAGAGACAAGGGTTTGCACCTATTTGCCAGCAGCTTTTAGACAGAGCGAGGGATGCTATTGAAAACAGAAGCCTGAACTCCCCACATCAGCCTTTGATATGCTGGCCCATTATCTGAAAGTAGAGCATACCACATGTTTTTGCCACTGGCACCAAGGTTACTGTTATAGACTTAAGGCAAGATTCTTAAGGAGCCTGACTCTGACAGGGTGGGTGCTTAGCACTTTCTGAAAATCTGACCCCTTGAAGATGCCTTGTGGTGAGCATCCGCAACTTGAAGCCCCCCAAATCGCTAGTCCCTTCTGATATTGTTAGCCCAACTGCTTACCTCAGTCCTGCCTGTTTACATAACGAACTGTTTCTTTTTAGCTCCGTCTGCTGGTGGTGGTTGTGCAGGGCCTGATTCATCTGCTCGTGGACCTCATTGACTCTCTGCCCCTTTATTCAGTCATCCTTCGGCTCTGCAGATCCTACAGACTTGCAGGTTGGTCCTACACCACCACGCAGGCTTCTGCATTCACAGTGGTATTGTGAGTGGGCTTGATCTAATGCACAGGTAGCTTATTGCACTGAAAGAGGCAGGGTGCCTGAAAAGTACTCAGGTTCCTAATGCAAAATCCATGCACTTGTCAATACTATTAACCAGTTATCCTGCGACGCCTGATGATAAAGTCAGTGGAAACTAATGTGACGCTAAAGCTGAGTCATAGGCAACGTTATAAAGAACACTGAAACAAAAGGTGCCATTCAACTATACAGCTTTTAAATCAGTTCATCTTATTTATAGCAGAATAAGCCAGCTGGGTCAAGTAAACAGGGTCTGGTCCAAACCTCAAATCCTCTGATATTCAGATAAGTTGTTAACTTGTGGTTTTCTCTTTGATTTTCACCCATCCCAATGTGGCTGGGAACCAAGGTATAGATAGACTTCAAGAGAATCTGTTCTTCAGAAAAGATAGATCCTCAGGTTGCATTGACTTCTGTGGAGTTATACTGATTTGCATTAGCTAAGGATCTGACCTGTGGTTTCTAGCTTAATTTCAGAACTCAAAAACTCTGACAGGTTTCAGAGTACCAGCTGTGTTAGTCTGTATCTGCAAAAAGAAAAGGAGTACTTGTGGCACCTTAGAGACTAACAAATTTATTTGAGCATAAGCTTTCGTCAGCTACAGCTCACTTCATTGGATGCATTCCGATAAGCATCCACCTTTTTGAGGTTAACCTGTCCCCATTTCAAAGTTACTTTCTGCCAAGCCACTATTTGACAGCCATTTTTGGGACCAGGCTAAAGGATTGCACTGAAATGGGGTTAGCTGAAAACAGAGATAGCTCAACCAATTTAAATCAAGCAGGCTAAACCACAGGCCCCAAGCAAGTTTAAGAATATGAAGCACAGAGTTCTAAAAGCAAGAAACAGCGTGAAGAGCTTGATCATCACCGAACCAAGGCCAGTCATCAAATGGGAAGGAAGCCCGAGGCTGATGATAGTGGCCTTTTCTACTGGAGATATGCCAGGTTCAGCTTTGGGAGCAAACGTGGGGAATGCTACCAACAATGTTGCTTTCCAGTACCTGTTGTCAGTAGGTCTCCATGTATTGAGTTGCAGGAAGTTCTTGATCTATAGGAGCTGTCTTTGTGGGACAGGAAATGCAGCTGAAGAAAGTTGTCCAGTAAACTGCAAGTGATTAGCTGGAAGGAAATCATGTTGATATTGATAAATAATAGATAAATAACTTCTCTATGATACCATCCGGCCTTCAAGATGAAGGAAAATGAAAATATATTAGGACCCTTGTTCAGGAGGGACATCATGGGAGGACATCTTTTAGGGTTTCCATGGTCTCTGACCACCCCCAACCCAGAACAGGAACATTTTATCTGAGAGAGGTAGGGAGAGAAAGGATCTGATCAAAATTCAAAGCAGAGATAGCTCTTCAAGATCCAGCATTCTTTCATTTCCTTCCTGCTTGGTTTCTGTCACCAATTACAGAGTCCTATCCCAATGGTATTGCTTTTTTCACCTTGGAAAGATCATGAAGGTTGTTTCAACACTCTGAATTTATTACTTTACTATCACTGAGGATTTAGTGAGGTGTTTAACTGCAGCTCAGTTCACTCCTGACATCTGGCCTCTGATTTCCTTGGCTTAGACTCTGAATTGACAAAACTCTGGTATTCATGTCACCTAAACAAGTGTAGATGGGTAATGATCAATCCATAGGTTAGGAGTCTATAGATCTTACTCCTTCACACCTAAAGTGAAATGTTTTTATAAAACCACCTGGAAATCTATCAAATCTGTAGTCCTCCAGCCAAGAGAGCTGTACGCCCAGCAGTGACAAAAGAAAGACAGACTGAAGCAAGCTGTCCTGAGTTAGGGTAGATGCACTCTGGGGTTAGAACAGTTTTTCTCTTGAAGGTGGCATTATGTAGTGGGTGAGGCACTGCACTGAGAGTCAGGGAAACTGGGTTTTGTTTCTGGCTCGGCCACTGACCTGCTGTGTGACCTTTGGCAAGTTGGTTCATGGTCCAGCCTGGCATTCAGGCAGGAGAAGCTCAAGTGTTCTTGCTCTGCTCGTCCTCTCTGCAGCATTTGATACTATTTGATCATTCCTGTCCCATCTCAAATAAGTTGCTGGCATGAATAGAAGTGCCCTGAAATGGCTCAGATACATCCTGTCAGACTGAATGCAGAACGTCACTATGAGCAACCGTTCTTCCTTCTCCAGAGCCCTCACCTACTAACACCCACAGGGCTCAGTCTTCTACTTGGTATTATTCACCATCTATATGAAACCACTGGGAGCCATTGAGGCAACATGGGCTGAAGTGCCAGCAGATGGCACCCCGTTCTACATCTCCTTTGTGACAAATGTAAACAGCATCATTTCCCAGCTTTCATCAATAACTGACCGGAATAAACACCTGGATGACAAGTTCCTGACTTGAGCTGAACCCAGACAAGACTGAGGTGATGCTGGCTGGCAGAGGGAAGTGCTTCAAAGATCTTGCCTCCTCTATAATGCTCTGCACTGTCAAGGGAATCTGCCTTCAAATTTCTTAAGTCCCCAGCCTTGGGGTCCTTTTGGATTCCTTGGAACTATTGAATGCCTAAGTAGTCATGGTAACAAAAAATGTCCACTACCATCTGTGTCTGGCCAGAAGAGTGTGCTCCATCCTATTGGATAGAGATCTGCCCATAACAATCCATTCATTCATGACCGCCAGGCTTGATTACTGCAACTCATTACATCTGGGAATGAAGCCACAGGCTACAAAATGTGGAAGCCTGTCTACTTAGCAACACAGATCACCAGAACGCATCACCCTGGTGCTTTGCTTTGCGCTGGTTCCCCAATTAATCCAGAATCCAGTTCAAGGTCTCTGTCTTGATATTTAAAGTGCCTCATGGGATTGGCCATTGCTACGTGAGAAATACCTCTCCCTCCATCACCATGACCTTCCACAACATTTACCTTCCACTGGAACAGTGAAACTGTGATCCTATAGGGGAGCCTCATGTGGAGAGTGAATTCCCCATTCTAAGGTCCGGTTGCTATGTAAATTCTGCTTTACACAGGAGCTGGACTTTAGACTAGGGAATTCACTCCGACAAGAGACAAGAATGACCACAGGCCTCACCAGTTGCAGAACTTAAATGTCATACTCCTTTGTCTTAGCTTTCCCTTAATTTCTATACACACACACACACACACACTAACCTAATCTAAAGATTAAGAAGGGGGAGAGATTATTTTTGTTTTTAAAAAATTTGGGATGCACTTAAATACTACAGTGATGGGGCCATATAAGTACTTATATAAAGGGTTTTATTTCTGATTCTACAGCTGACCTTGGACAAGTCATTTCAGCGCTCTGTGCCTCAGTTTCCCCATCTGTAAAAAGGGATAATAATATAGACCTGCTTTGTAGGAGTGTTCTGCAGGAAGTGTTTTGAGAACCTCCAATGAAAGGCCCCTCTATAAAGTGAAAAATACTGTATTCTCCCTCTTTTAAATGTTACGTTAAGCATTGTTATGTAGAATATGTCATAGCTTGGATCCACCATCTTCCCTGTCTGACTTTAAGGTACTGTGGGATTTAGTGAGCCCTGGAGGGAATACAAAAGTGAAAACTGGAGTGGCAGCTGCAGCAGTTAATAGCATGCTGAAAATGTATGAATGCCTTCGTTGTGATCAATAGTCATTGATTTTTTTGAATTTACTCAAATATCTTTGTGTCATCCACTATCACAGACCTACCCCCATTTAGTCTGAAAGCAGAAGGGAGACGTATACATGTACAGTAGCCATATGAAAAATGACTAAAGGAGAGTTTTCTGTCTCTCATTTACACGGGGTAGAGCATTCCCCTTTTCTGCTGGAATGCTGGGAGCAAATATAGATCATTATAGTTCCTTTGCCATAATCCCCAGGCTTGCTGTCTTGTGTGACTTTTAGGAAATCCCTTTCAACTCATTGATCCAAGTAGAGAATGGAGATTGTTCTCCTCCATCGTGGTTCTTTGTTTGTTTTTTCAGCTGGCGTGAAGTTCAGAGTCCTTGAACAGAAGGCTGGAAAACCCCTTCGACTCTTAATGCAGGTAAACCACAGGCTGCTTAGTGCTCACAGTTATGTCCTCTGCTATAGGATTGCCAGCAGAACTGTCCCTAGGATTCTGACTCCTTTAGAAAGAGTTCTGATAGCTCTCTCAAGATGGAATTCTAGGGAAAAGCATCTCCAAAGTTTCAGTGGAGTTCTGGGATATAGAGGTGGGGCGAAGTATATTTCACCTTGGTGCTGCAGTCTGTCACTCCTACTTAGTGTGCCTTGCTTTTGTGTTCATCAGGTTGGCTTCTAATGAAGCATTATACATAAGAAGCAGCATTCTGTATGTTACAAAATGAAACTTGAATAGTTGTGAGTAATGATGGTCCATCACTTCTGTGATTAGCATTATCTCACTGCTATGTTGTCTGCAGCTGTGCTTTAATAAATGCTGTGCCTTGAGAGAGGCAAAAAAGACTGGCCACACTCAACCAGAGTGGGAAACAGTTAAGGAGAACCAAAACCCAGCTCTAGTAAGAGGGCCTTCCCTTCCAGATGAGCTGAGAAGCGTGAGCTACTTAATGCACCAGTCAGCTTGGTTCATTGTAGACAGGAAAAGAAGGGTGGGTGCCTTGTGAAACTGTTCCCAAGTTTCATCTCGGGATTGCCCTGTGATGCGCTGAGGGGAGGAGTCTCTTCCTTGCTGTCTTTCAAATCTTACATTTTCCACCCTCTAAGGAATAGATGTTCCAGGAAGGCTGTTCTGAAAATGGGCTGACATGGTGGCAGCAGATAATTTCTCATTACAAGTGCAGGAGCAATTGTGGGGCCTCCATTTCCTGATCACTATTTGCAGAGCTAATACATTCTTGCCGTACAGTCTGCTGGTCAGTAGAATAGCAAGAAGCAAGACTTTGACACCAGTGGGCCAGTTTCTTTGCTGCAGCTGAGATCCACTTGTTCCAGTAGAAGGGGGGCCACCGAGAAGTCAAGTACAGCTCATCTATACTTTCACCTGGTTCCACCCCTGCTTTAACTCCTACTTGCATCTCCAAATAGGATAGAGCAGCCTGGAGCTAGTCTGATCTGCACCAGCTGGCAACAGTTCTCCAGGTACCATCCATGAGCTGGGTATAGCAGAACTAGACCATGCTCTGACCATACTGCCTGTTTCGTTTGCTGGGGCCAAGGGATGGCATAAGAGCCAGCTGCTCTGACTATGCTCACAGGGATCTCCCCCACAGGGAAGGTGTGCACAGTTTCTGCTCTCTTTGTGCCACTGGAGAGATGCAAGGCAATATGGTGGGGCTGAGGATGTGGCCACAATGATTATAGTGGCATGGTGTCAGAGTAGCAGCCGTGTTAGTCTGTATTCGCAAAAAGAAAAGGAGGACTTGTGGCACCTTAGAGACTAACCAATTTATTTGAGCATGAGCTTTCGTGAGCTACAGCTCACTTCATTGGATGCATTCAGTGGAAAATACAGTGAGGAGATTTATATACACACAGAACATGAAAAAATGGGTGTTATCATACACACTGTAAGGAGAGTGATCACTTAAGATGAGCTATTACCAGCAGGGTGCGGGGGGCGGGGGGGAGAAAACCTTTTGTAGTGATAATCAAGGTGGGCCATTTCCAGCAGTTGACAAGAACGTCTGAGGAATAGTGGGGGGTGGGGTGGGGAATAAACATGGGGAAATAGTTTTCCTTTGTGTAATGACTCATCCACTCCCAGTCTCTATTCAAGCCTGAGTTAATTGTATCCAGTTTGCAAATTAATTCAATTCAGCAGTCTCTCCTTGGAGTCTGTTCTCTCTGGTCACTCGATCTCTGACCTAAAAGTCGCAATATTACAACAAAAAGACTTCAGAAACAGACTTCAAGGAGAGACTGCTGAATTGGAATTAATTTGCAAACTGGATACAATTAACTAAGGCTTGAATAGGGACTGGGAGTGAATGAGTCATTACACAAAGTAAAACTATTTCCCCATGTTTATTCCCCTCGCCCCACTGTTCCTCAGACGTTCTTGTTAACTGCTGGTAATGGCCCACCTTGATTATCACTACAAAAGGTTTTCTTCCCCCACCCCCTCCTGCTGGTAATAGCTCATCTTAAGTGATCACTCTCCTTACAGTGTGTATGATAACACCCATTTTTTCATGTTCTGTGTGTATATAAATCTCCTCACTGTATTTTCCACTGAATGCATCTGATGAAGTGAGCTGTAGCTCACGAAAGCTCATGCTCAAATAAATTGGTTAGTCTCTAAGGTGCCACAAGTACTCCTTTTCTTGTAGTGGCATGGTGGTGGCTGCTCCAGGTTATAGGGATAAAGGAGTTAGTTGATGAGTACAATAAGATCTTGATCAATAGGCCCATCACAGAAAGGAATCTTCCTAGTGTGTGGCACCGTATATTGTATCAAGAGAGGTTCAGAAGGGCCTGGATACACAGACCCTCTATATCCTGGTCCCTCCCTCAAAGGTCAGCATACAGTAAAGGTGGCTTTCTGTTGCAGTGTGGAGGCAGTAATGCCAGGCAGGCCTGTCTCAGAAATCCGGTGGGCCTTACCACTATCAGATCAGGATTTGCAGCATGAAAATCTGGAAAACGTCTTTTGACACAGATTAAAATTCACACAGTGATACACTGAGCTCTGTGTAGCAACTCATGCTATTTCTGTCCCCAGCTTCCATGATAGGCTTGCCTTGTGTCACCTCCCCATTATCCCCATGTGCCTTGTTACCCTGCGGAGCGATGCTTCCCCACACCGTGCCAAAGGGGAGGAAGTTTGTGTGTGTGTATAATTGTGCGCACATGTACAAAAGATAAGACCTAGATGATTGAAGATTCTCCCTGTCTCTGGGCACTAAGCTGATCTAGGTGACAGCCGATCAGAAACATATGACAATGTCAGGATGAAATAAAAATGATTTGTAGACTGATCTGAATTGGGCGGTCTCTGCAGCTGGTTTATGAGGATGTTTACTTCCCTTGGGATTCAGCAAACGATTGGTTTTTTATTTTAAAAAAAAAGTTCAGTGTCGTCAGAATGTAGAATCCAAATACAAGTATATTGGTGAGGGCAGGAAGATTCCATTGCTGTTTAATTCACTCCCAAAAGCAGTATGCAACTTAGTATTTAAACTGGGTTTTAAAATAATGTGTTCTGTAAACATATCAAAAAATACTCCTGGCTACCAGCTATTGGCTTCCCTGATTTTCATGCAGCCAAGTTTTATAAAAGGGGATCTAGAGGAATTGACTCCTTTACAACTTTGATCCCTCTCTACACATTCACCCAGAAATTTCCTTTTCAAGAACAACCTGTTTGCAAAGGGTTAAGCGAAAGAGGAAGGGAAAAGGGAACGATTCCATTATGAAACAAGGGAGGTATATTTTATCAGTTTATACAGCCTTGAACTACAGAGATTGTATAAAAGGAACTCATGACAGCAACTTCCCTAACAAAACTGTTGTTTTTTTAAATTTAAAACATGACAGTAAGACGCTGTTGTGCTGTGCTGGGTTGAAAGCCATTTCTTATCTCTCAGTAGGTGAAATTCACTCCTATGCCACCAGTCCTCCACACAGATATACATTTCAACTAAATGGGCATAGGAATATTGTGTCCAAATAGTCAGTGGCCTCACTTCCCTAGCAACAATCCCTTGTCGTCTCCCGCAAATGGACCTGTTTCCATCTAAGATTTAACCGTGTGGATGAAGCTGGGTGACTAGCTAGTAACAAAGTTATTCAAATTTTGTTTCTTTTTCTTTTGGCAGATTCCTTGTGGCCCCGATCTTGAACAAATTGAATCTATTCAGAATTACTCTCCAATAACTTAAGTGATTAATTATTGGTCTGGAGATTGAGAGTATTTGAAATTTGAGCTGCATTAGTTATTTTGGTTAGACAGACAAATCACATAGTATGATTCTGTTCCCTGACTGGATGAGCACAGCTCTTCAATTTCTGCTACAAATGCTCATCTTGACAAATTCAAACCTCGCTTCCTGTGAATCTGCTCAGTATTCACTTAAAATTATTTTTCCATGAACATGTCTGCCAGTGAACTCATTCACTAGCAATTGGTACAAAGCAAATACGAAAGAGATGTGAACCCAGCTGAAGAGAGTTAATTTTAAAATGTTACTAACTAGTCATGTGAAATGTTCTGTGGCATGCATCCAGTTCTAATTGGACTTGAGGTTGAAAAAGGTGGAATAGGTGCTGAGTTTAGTGTATGCGTACGTGGATTGCTGGATTGGTGCCACAGTGCTCAGCCTCTTGCAGAATTGAGCCAATAATTAATCTTACTGGTATATTCCACAGAGTGCTGTAAAAATGTGTCCCCAAAAGAGTATTCTATTGAATGCCATGTCTGTGGACATGGTTACAGTACAGTTTCATTGTGTCAGATTGATGAAACCTTAGCAGTGCTCTAAAACCAGGCTTATGACTTGGGCTGTGCCTCTGTTTCCCTATCTGTAACATGAGGGTAACAATTCCTTCCCCACAGAGAGATTGTGAGGCTAAATTCATTTGAGATCCGCAGGTGGAAAGTGCTATAGAAGAAAAAAGAATTCTTACATAGCCAACAAACTCTTGTAACCCATTTGTGTGCAGCAGTATAGCTGGGAGATTCTAATAGAGCATTAATGTGATTGTACAAAGGCAGAAAGAATTGCACATGCACACACACGCACCCTTACTCTCCTCATTGTTCACACCATCACCTGTTTTCATTGCCATTGTCCCTCTTCCTTCTCTACTTCCAGATAAATCCTCTGTCCTATGGCAGCGTGGTGCAGACATACAGGCTCCCAACCTATGCTTGTTACCCTAAGGATTCCTGGAGCTCTCTGTGCAAGAAGCTGTTTGTTGGAGAGCTGATCTACCCTTGGAAGCATAAAGGGGAGAAGCAGGACTAAAGGGAAGCAAATGAGCCAGGCCTGAAAGAATGAGCCAAAAATCACCATTCAAACCCACTCACGGCTCCCAGGCCCAGTGAGCCTGGACCCAGCAGCTGCTAGCTGGGACAATACTGTCAAATCCTCTGCTGAGACTTTGGTAATGTGCGAGGAGGGGCTTCATTTTAAATGGGAGTGTTTTTATATAATCTCCTTCAACTTTCCCCCTCCTATATGGCCCCATCCAGCTGACTTGGTTTCCAGGCTGTTCTCTGTTAATGAAGTGTTATTCCACCCTAGAGTACACTGTTCCTGCCTGGCAGCACTAGGGGCCAGAGGTTTAACCCTTCAGTGCCTCTCCACAGCAGCATACCATGTAAGCCAGGGAATAGCTCCTGATCGGCCTGATGGTCTGTTAGTCTTTCTATGTAAGTTCATGGGGCCATATTAAAGCTGCCCTGGGACCTGAGGGTGATTAAAGCCAAAACGCTGAGGTGGATTATTACATCCAGGTATTCTGGACCTTTCAAATTCGTGTGTTCAAGCCAATTCATCAAATGCATGCTCCCAAACTGGATGGTCAGCTTGGAAACAGTACTGGTATGTAGCCCATTGATTTGTCCCATTGCTTTTTCTTTGGTAGTAGAATTGGCTTTATCCCACTGCAGCACCACAGCAAGGGTGAGCATAGAAAAAAATGTAGCATGGAGGCCAGAAAACACACACTGCTCTGGGACCATGCCTAACCCACCATTTACAGCAGGAACAAACAGAGGTAGGGTTTCACCACAAAAAATCATCTTTGGCCTAAATATTCTTAACGGACTAGTGATGTTGGATGCGTCTGTTTCTCAGTGCCCAATCTGAGACCTTTTAAAGGGGCCTGATTTTTGGACAGTCCAGACCCTGTAATGGCTCACAAAATTGGCCTCTAAAACTACTAGTTGCTTTGGAAAATGTAGACCCCACGTCTTAAGAATACTTTTCTTGCTGACGGTACTAACCTCCAGATCACAATGAAAACAATGGTCTCTTCCTCTGTCAGATTTTAAGTACATACACATTATGGTGTCTGTTCCCCTTTCAAAGTGTTCCTCCTATTAACCCGAATGGGAAATACATTAATGTGTTGGCCAGGCAGTAGATTCTTTAGTATGTACCTAACACATACATTTCTGTAGTTTAAAATAGAGACTGTATACAGATGTGTAAGTACACTGTGCCTAGGTGTACAACAGTCACTTCCCATATCCTAAACGGGATATATAGGGTTGCTGTGCACTGTTGCCAGCTTGCATTCCAGAGGTGGCTGCATTACATTGGTGGTGAAAACAATAAGGAGTACTTGTGGCACCTTAGAGACTAACAAATTTATTTGGGCGAAGCTTTCGTGGGCTGAAACCCACTTCATCAGATGCATGAAGTGGAAAATACAGTAGGAAGATATATATACAGAGAACATGAAAAGATGGGGATTGCCTTACCCATTCTAATGAGACAATTCAATTAAAGTGGGCTATTATCAGCAGGAGGAAAAATCACTTTTGTAGTGGTAATCAGGGTGGCCCATTTCAAACAGCTGACAAGAAGGTGTGAGTAACACTATGGGGGGGAGGGGAGGGGAGGTGAATAGGAAGGGGAGATAGGTTTTTAGTTTGTGTAATGACCGATCCACTCCCAGTCTTTATTCAGGCCTAATTTGATGGTGTCCAGTTTGCAAATTAATTCCAGTTCTGCAGTTTCTCATTGGAATCTGTTTTTGAAGGTTTTTTTGTTGAAGAATTTCCACTTTTAAGTCTGTAATTAAGTGTCCAGGGAGGTTGAAGTGTTCTCTGACTGATTTTTGAATGTTATAATTCTTGACATCTGATTTGTCTTTTTTTTTTTTTTTTGCATAGAGACTGTCTGGTTTGGCCAGTGTACATGGCAGTGGGGCATTGCTGGCACATGATGGCATATATATGTGATGTGATATATGCCATCATGTGCCAGCAATGTCCCTCTGCCATGTACATTGGCCAAATTGGACAGTCTCTACACAAAAGAATAAATGGACACAAATCAGACGTCGAGAAGGGCAGTGGTGGGTGAGTGATCTTTTGTCCCATCATGCTGTTCAGCCTGGTTACATGGGCTTGAGGCAGGAGGGAGGAGGATTTGTCCCCATATAGGTAATATGCTTTGAGCTCTTTCTGGGTGAGTAAGCACTTGTTACACTGGTGTACATGTAGATTAAAATCTTCACTAAGGCTAGGTCTCTACTTGGAGCTAGGGGTGTAATTCCCAGCTCACGTAGACATACTTGCGCTAGCTCAGTGAGACTTAGTTCACTAAAAATAGTAGTGTAGCTGTGGTAGCATGGGCAGCAGCAAGCGGCAGCACGGGGTAGCTGTCCTGAGTACAAACCTACCCAGATCCCATGAGTAAGTACTCAGGGCGGCTAGCCCATGCCACCGCTGCCTGTGCTACTGTGGCTACACAACTGTTTTTGGCACGCTAGCCCAAGTATATCTACGCAAGCTGGGAATCACACCCCAAGCTGCCAGTGTAGACATAGCCTCAGAATTCAGCCTTCACCTTTGCATCCACAGGCATGAGTTGAAAAAACAAATTTGCTTACATAAATATTTAAGACGTTCTCTAAAACATTCCTTACACAGCAAAAGTAAAGTCTGCCAGAGTTTTACAAGATGTCTCCAGGTCCTTAGTGAGGTTATTGCGCAAAAGACAGAATGTTATGCTGCCGATATGGTTTGGGGATTAGTGCAATCAGGAGAACGTTTTCTTCTTGCATGGTCCAAAACAAAGTATATTGTTGAAAGCAACTAGTTTGGCAAAAATCCCTCTTATCGCCCCTAATACTGCAGAGGGTTTTCAATGAAATCTTGATTTGTAGGTATGACATACCCCAGGGTGCAATCTGGACTGATGTGTCCCCTTAGCTCCCCAGCCTGTGATGCCTTTTACACTGCTTTGCTGGTGAACAGCAACCCCTCCATGCTCTGCACGCACACAGCCACTAGCATGTAAAATCACTCCCAGATCAATACAAGAACGCTGTGCCCAGCCTTCCATGAATTACATACAGGGTATAATAATAATAATAAGAGAGAACCTGGATTTGTGCAGGAAATGGCCCACCTTGATTATCATGCACATTGTGTAGAGAGTTGTCACTTTGGATGGGCTATTACCAGCAGGAGAGTGAGTTTGTGTGTGGGGGGGTGGAGGGTGAGAAAACCTGGATTTGTGCTGGAAATGGCCCAACTTGATGATCACTTTAGATAAGCTATTACCAGCAGTACAGTGGGGTGGGAGGAGGTATTGTTTCATGATCTCTGTGTGTATATAAAGTCTGCTGCAGTTTCCACGGTGTGTATCCGATGAAGTGAGCTGTAGCTCACGAAAGTTCATGCTCAAATAAATTGGTTTGTCTCTAAGGTGCCACAAGTACTCCTTTTCTTTTTGCGAATACAGACTAACATGGCTGTTACTCTGAAACCTACATACAGGGTGACACCCACATATCCCTCTGTTCCAGCCGTGTCCCCAAAATGTGTTTCTTGTACTGCTCAGTAACCCCCTGGACAGTACAAGCTCATAGATCATAGAACCCCCTGCCCTGAACCCCCTCATACATCTTGCACCCCTCCTGCGCCCCAACCCTGTGCCCTGATCTGCTTTCTGCACACCACACCCCCTCCTGCACCCCAACCCCCTGCTCCAGCCCTACATTCATGGCCCTGCATGCAATTTCCCCATCCAGATGTGGCCCTCGGGCCAAAGAGTTTGCCCACCCCATCATAGATAGTTTGATTATGTAATGATTATGCACCAGCCTTGTTGACCCTAAGTAGAGTTTCCCAAATACTTCAATCCAAACACACACTGGTGTATGTAAAACAACAAAACAATGTATTAACTAGAGAGAGACAGATTTTAAGTGATTAAAAGTGATAAGGCATAAAAGTCAGAATTGGTTACAAAAGAAATAAAAAGATAAAACCACAAGCTAATTCCTAAACTTTATCAAGGCTAATAGGTTTAAAAGCACAAGGCCCATCTCACTGTAAACTGTAGTAAAATTTCTCAGGCTGCATCTCCTTCCAACCTGGGACCATTCCCCTTCTTAGTTCAGTTCTTTCAGAGTCATTGATGTCCTGAGCAGAAAGGGGTGATATGAAGGTCACTGTCTCTTACTTTATACCCTCCTCCTCTCTGAGAATTACCCCCTGCCAGGTATAGACAAACAGGACTCTCTACATGAGATTTGAAACATTCCTGTGTGCAATGTCATTTTTTTGTTTATACCTTCCCATTGCTGAAGAATGGCCGGTTAAACCGGTAATGGCTCTTTGACACCAGTTTGGGGTGCCAGTGTGTCTTTGTCTCTGAAAAACTGGTTTGGACCTGCTTGTCTTAACCTTGGAGCAAGTTATAACAATGATACATAGTAGAAGCTACTAACTTCTCACACACTGTTAATACACACATTTTACCAGGACAACAGTATTCAGCAGATTATGAGTTTTCAACTGATACCTCACAAGGCTTACATTGTACAAAATATATCGTAACCATATAAAAGTGGTGAACAGGGGTACAGGGTGTCACAGTAGGTGGCTCCAGACCCCATGGAGTTCTGTGCTGGTCTTTAATATTCAGTGTGTCAGTTTTGCAGTTGTTTTAGAACAGTGCAGAGTGCACAATGTATAAACTGTTGTCTCCAGCATAGGTCTCATTAAGGCCAGATTGTGACCCCTTATGTTAGTGAACAGTCGCAGTCAGTGGAACTGTTCTTGTGACCAAGAGGTTTAACAATCTGGCCCTGAGCAATTAAATAACCCTTCAGATTTGCTTGCTTGCTCTGTGAGTTCAAGAGCCAGATTTTAATGCCCTTACCTTCAGAAATACCTTACACCTCTTGTATTTAATCCCATTTAAACACCTGTATCACGCCACTGTCTTCAACTCCAAGTAGGAACCTACAGATTTCCAAACTGAATCAGTTAATTCCATAACTGCTTACTGCAGGGTTCCTTACACCTCAACCTAATCTGGTATCCTGTCTCTGACAATGGCCTATAATAGCTCCTTCAAGGGAGGTGCAAGGAACCCTGCAGTAGGCAGTTATGGGATAACCTGCCCACAGGAAAAGTCTTTTCCTACCCTTTTACCCACCTGGACAACCTTAATATCTTCACTGGTGGGAGGGCAGAATCTGAAGACAAGAGGATGGCCCAGCCACTGGAACTTTTCTGCTAGCAATTCTTTGATACACAAATGCAAAAAGAATCCAGTGTGCTCTACCAGAGCTCAGCTGGTCCTGCAGGGCTGACAGCACTGCACAGATGAACCTGAATATGCACAGGAAGAAGATTGAAAAAATGGCACCTTAATTCAAAACATAGTCACTTTTCACACTAGAACCACACTTTACACTGCATCTATCAGCAGCTCTGCCACTAGGGCTTTGCCTCTTCAGCACCTCCCACTTTTCCAAGCCTTCTTCCAAATCTTGGATCTAGCTGGTTAAGTCTGGTTCTTGTCTGAGATCAAAAAAAAGTTTGGCCTTCTACAGATCACTTGTCTACTGTTGTTAATAGATTATACCCCACCCCCTTTCAGAGGTTGTGACGCTTCTTTTTGGCAAGTGCCAAATTTGCTAGATGCTTCAGTGTTAAATTAGTTCTATAAAGACTCTGACATTGATTTAAGAGTTGTTAATTATCACTAGAACTGACAAATACCCTCCTGATCAACCTAACACACTAACCCTTCTGAGACCCACAAGGTTACCCTGGTTTGAGTGAGAGAACTAGGAAATGAAAGCCACTTCTGGACATGATCCCTGCCTGGGCTCTCCTCACTGGGAATCAGGTTGCTACTGACGCTCCTAGTGCTCTCTGCCTTCGATAGGACTTCAGCCTACAGATCCCCTATTTTCTCTGCCTGGTGTTCATCATTTACCTCCTTTGGGTTGCTAGTGTGGGAAAGCCAGTATTAAAACCTTTTTTGGTTACGAACAGAGAGACATTATAACAAAGCAGCATTTGTCCGGCTCAGGGCTTCTCAACCCTACTACAGCCACCCTGCATATAAGCATTCTTCTATGCTGGGATCAGCATCCTTTTCCACTCCAGCATGGGCTGTCCCCCAGCACTAATATTTCTTTGAGTGAGAGAAAGAGCTGCTTGTACTGTGGGGCTGACTTAAACACCCAGAACGTGCTGCTGTTGAAAGGAAATAGAAATCGCCCTGTCAGTTCTCCTGCACAAAGGCCTGGCTTGTGGTTTTTGGGGTTTTCCACTAATGCAGTCCTGCAGTTGGACTCAAACCTTGTTATGCAGGCCCAACCACTGTATACAACTGAGATCCATATACTGAAAGCTTTCACTGCATGCCATGCCATCTCCAGTGATGGAAATACAGATTCTAGATAACAGGAAACAGATCAGTGCTGATATGTTAACCCCTGTTCTACAGCCCCACTGCATGCAGATCTCTTGCTAAAACCAATATGAATACAGCTCACAGGACAGCCCTTAAGGTAGCTACTGCAATTCTATACGTACACTATATTAAAGTGAATTTTCAAAGCCTTTAGAAATAACCTGTAAGACTCACACCACCCTCCTTACTGAGACTAGTGTGAGAGTCTCTCTGAGAGAGTTGCCATTCCATTGATACATCTCAGCAGGGTGAAAACACCTGAGGAGCCAGGTTATTGGATATTTCCTGATGAGTGGTGGCAGAGGAGCTTCCTGCCAGCTCTGATGTAGATTAGAAAGACAGAAGGAACCATTCTGCCCTGATGACACCATACCCCATCCCATTAAAGCCAATGGGGTTGCATGGCATGTAAATTGGTGCAAGGGCTGTGATTCCTACTGGAATGTATAACCAAGGAGGATGGAGTTTTGAAGCTTGTTGTATGGGGAGTTAGAGAAATCTGCAGTGATGTAACTAAATCAGTGTAGTTATTCGGTGTAGCTACTTAACATAGACACGCAGCACCAATGTAAAGTGGGGTGCGATGGGGTATACAGACCACACTCAGGCTGAAAAGGGTTAACAAACTGCCAGGAGCACAATCAGCCCCACCCACTTGGGTGTCAATCCTGTAGGAACAGGATGGAAAGGGGAGAGCTCAGTCAGTTGTGGCTGGCTGGAAAGAGAGAAGACCAGCTGCTCTCATTTGGGGATAGAAGCCTGGCTGGAGCCAGGACTCAGTAGAACTGTGCTGGTTAGAGCCTCCCTGGCAGGCAGGCCTGATGCTGGACTATTTGGGTTTATCAGGGACTTGCTGATGATTAAACCAGGCAGCAGAGGGTGTCTCACCTGAGGGGAATGGTGAGATCTGCAAGCTGAGCCTGGGGGCAGGTAGGATGAATAACCTCAGAAGGGCTGAGAACTAAGTCCAGCTGGAATACAGGTGCCTTTATTTCATGTTTGTTTTGAGACTGTGACCTTGGGCTCTGCTACCCCAGAAGGGGAGGAGGCTAAACGTTCATAGTGACTCAAGTCAGAGCACTGAGCCATAAACCACCAGAGTGGGCTAGAAACCCTGTCAGGGAAACTGAGGCAGAGCAGCTGCAGAGCCATGCTTGACCTCAAGGATGCGTATAAGGGTGGCGACCTGACAGCATGGGGCTTACATCAGTAATTTACCAGATTACATCTCAGTAATGCTGCAATGTATCTAGGTTGGGGTTTGCACCAGCATAGCTACATCAGTGTAGGTACCAGTGTCAATGTCTCTAAGGTAGAGTGGGCCTTAGGGACCAATGGAGGAGCTAGCCCCTCTGTCTGCAGTGGTAGATCCATGCTGCTCAAAGGAGTTGAGAGGTCAGAAGTTTTCCTTAAGTTTAATGAGCAACCTTAAAGCAGCTTCCTGCTGTGTCCTCATAGAGACAGTGAGCTGTTTTCTTCCGCCCTACACTGCATAATTGCCCTGTTGCGCTTCCACCTTCTCGCTTGACTATCTTTAAAACACTTTTAAATACTTAGTGATTTACTCTTTTCTAAGGTTAGACCTAGTGTATGTTACACTGGATTAGAGATGGACCTGAACCAGAACCTCCAATCAGGAATTGCGTCTTTTTCTCCCCTTCCAAATCTGCCTCTGTGGTTTGTGTGTTTGGGGGACCTATGTATCTTTGCTGTGGTTTTGTAATGTACTCAAAGAAACACATGGTGTTGTGAAACTGAAGATTTCCCAGTGACTGTTGTATTTAAACCTCCAGTGATTAAATCTTTCTTAACAAGAAGATACCAAAAAAGGGTTGCACAAACACTTGGAGCTTATTCTGAAATGCTGCTGTGTGTGAGAGAGAGAGAGAGAGAAAGCTATTTTAAAAGTGTCAGTCAGTTTTGCGTTTAATGGACATCTGCTGCCTAGCTGCCAAGCACGAACAAAATGTGCACATACAAACGAGACTGGTGTTTGTTTTAAAATGCCACTGTTATGCCACTTAAAGCCGAGACTTCCGTCCCATCACAACCCTGTTTTAAAATGTAGTAGACTAGCTTAACAGTTCAATGAGCAAGTCCTGGCCTAATAAATGTAATTGACTAGTGCTCACTGTAATAGTTTGTCATAACAAGAATGCCTGGCATGGTGGTGAGGATCTTAGCTTGACTGGCTGTACTGTCATGGTGGATTCACGTACAGCTGGGGCTGAGAGAGGATGTATAATAGAACTGCATTGTACCAATGTCCTTTGATTTTGAAAGCCTGATGTTCTGCATTTGCATTATATGACCTAGTGGTAGAGATCTTTGAACTCCTGGCAATCATTTCTTAAATTAGCTATTTTAATCAGATCTTACAACTTATTTTGATTACACTAGAATAAAGATGTTTTTAGAAAAAGTATTTACTCTCTGGTCCTGACTGTGATGCTGTGATGGGCATGGGAAGGTGGCTAGCCCCTAGGTTCTGCATCTGCAACTATTCAAGGTCAGGCAGATGAGAAGTGAGCCTTGCAGAGCCTGGCATCTGGACTCCGGTTGTCTTTGTGATTGGACTGCCGTTCTTGGTCCTGAGCATCAGGAACCGACTTGCTCTGCGTCCACTCTCCATGTTACAGATGGTGATCTGGCTGCTGAATTGCTTAAACTCTAAGGATTTATGTGACACATAAAGTTGACTCACTCCCTAAACCCTGCACTTGCTGTCACCGAAATCAATGGCAAAATCCTCACCAACTTCCATGAGAGCAGGATCAGACTCTAAAATGCTTTATTCCTTTCAATGGGTGCTCTTGGTCCTAGTGTAACTCAGTGCTTACTAGAGAGGATCGTGTTGCCTTTGTCATGCTGCTTTTTCTCCCCATGGTGTTAGAGCTTCTTAAAAACTGGAACTCTTGTTTCCCTGCTAATCTGAGACACTTGCGAACACTGATTTGCCTCCTTGTGGCTATATGATGCCAAAGCAGTCCTGCCTTCTCTTGAGCGGCGAACAGCAGAGAGGCTAACAGAGGGAGTTTGCCTGGGATCTGTCTGAGAGGAGGTACGCTAAGGGCTGCATTAGGGAGGCTGTGTTGGTGAGTGTCTGTTGTGGGGACAGTTTGACCGTGTGCTTGATTGGTTTTTGAAAAGTGTGACTTGGGAGTGCTTTGTTCCAGGTGAGCCTTGAGTGGGCCTGACTGTTATAAAAAGCCAGTCAGCTGCAAACCAGCTGAGTGGCTAAC